CTCGGCGCGGCGGCTGCGCCACCCGGGCTCGGCCGGGCTCCCGGTGGAACGGACGGGAAGAATAACACCAAGCCCCAAGGGCGGCCTTCCCGCCGCGCGCCCCGAGGGCACAGGAGACCCGAGGGGAGCGGAGCCGCAGCCTCCCCCAGGGAGGCCCGCGCCGAGAGTCTGAGAGGCTGGGGGTGCAGATGGAGGGGAGACTTTTCTTTCCACGTTTTGAGTGAGAGTCCTCCCCCGGATTAGAGTGGCGGGGACCAGCGTGCCGCCATGCATGCAGTGATTCAGACTTGCACGAGTAGCTTGGCGTCTCTGTCCTTTGCGTTGCCAGGTGAAACCTGAAACTCTAGCTCACGCCTGCCATCCTAGCTACTCAGGAGGCTGAGATACAGGAAAGTCTGTGAGACTCTGATCTCCAATTAAGGAGCAGAGAACTGAAGTGGCGCTGTGGCTCAAAGTGATAGGAAGAGTGCAGGGACAGTGCCCAGGCCCTGAGTTCAAGACCTACAACTGGCAAACATAAACAAAACATAGCTGCTTCCTCATAGGTAGACTTTAGAAGTTGGCACAGATGATCGCTAACATCCCTTTACCCAACATTGCTAGGACTGAGAACGAAGACCACTAGAATTAGCAGTCTGCCCCCCAACTCTACCCAATGGCTTTGGGAAACCTGTACACACTGCACCCATCCTTGCATACCTTGGCTCACCTAACTGGAAAGCTCCAGAAGGGAGGGGGGCGGGGAATGTGTGGTGGCTGATGAAGAAAATGCAAGTTCACTTGGCTTGCATGGAATTGGAATACTGGAAATAAATTAGCGTTAATGTACTTCTTCTTTTCAAGCCATATTTGCATAGAACGCCCACAAAGTGCGGAAACAACTTTCTGAGGACCTTCTGTAGGAAAGGAAAGAGAAGTTCCCTTATTTCTTTCATTGTCACGTGATAGGTTTAAGCCCTCCACCTGCGGCTGAAGCAGCGTACAAAGCGATCTTCACTGCTTCCTTCACTCCCTGTGGCAGTGCTGTGGGTGGTGAGTCAGAGGAGACCGTGGACTCGGGGAGCAGCGAGGCGCAGCTCTTCGCTGACTCCAGTGTTGCCTGGCCTCTTCTAGACCCCTGTGGGCACACAGACCCCGTCCTAGCATTCATCCCCGATGCCCTCGGCTTTCCCGGCCTCCCCCTTCCGTTCAGCTCCTGTGCCTTCTGGACGGGCCTCTGCAGGCCTGCTCTTCCACAGCTCCCCATCTTGCCCGTTCCAGGCCCAGCAGCATAACTGTTCATCTGAGAGGCCAAATCATTTCAGGATGTTGACGTCTAAAAATAAGCCCATTCCTGACATCTTTTGTTTTGTTTTGTTTTGTTTTTTTGGTTGTGGGGCTTGAACTCTGGGCCTGGGTGCTGTCCCTCAGCTCTTCAGCTCAAGGCTAGCGCTCTACCACTTGAGTCACAGCGCCACTTATGGTTTTCTGGTGGGTTTTATTGGAGATAAGAGTCTCATGACTGTTTCTGCCTGGGCTGGTTTTGAACCGTGCTCCTCAGATCTCAGCCTCCTGAGTAGCTAGGATGACAGGTGTGAGCCACTGGGGGCCAGCAAATAACTTGTTTTTGTTGTTGTTGGTTGTGAGGCTTGAACTCAGGGCCTAGTGCGGTCCCTAGGTCAAAGCTAGTGCTGTACCACTTTGAGCCACAGCACCTCTCATTTATGACCTCTTTTGGTAATTATATTCTAATGAAGGCCTCTCACTGCAAAGGAAGTGTTCTAGAGCAAGCTTGGGAAAGGCAATGTGACAATGGACAGAGACTTGTGATAGCAGAAGAGTTGGTTCTCTTTGGTTAAATATAGCAGCCATTAACACAGCCTATTTTTCTTTCTCGGTTTTTTCCCCCCACAAATAATTAATAGGCTAAATCACCTTCGTGTGTGTCTGTGTGTGTGTCTCAGTCATGGGGCTTGAACTCTGAGCCTGGGCGCTGTCCCTCAGCTCTTCAGCTCAAGGCGAGCACTCTACCACTTGAGCCACAGCGCCACTTCTGGTTTTCTAGTGGTTTATTGGAGATAAGAGTCTCAAGGACTTTCATGCTTGGGCTGGCTTTGAACTGTGATCCTTAGATCTCAGCCTCCTGAGTAGCTAGGATGACAGGCGTGAGCCACTGGCACCCGGCTTGATCTTTCCATTTTTTAAAATGAATATGTTCTTTGTCCATGCTGGACGCCACATGAGTGTGCACACATGCACACGCACACACACGCGCACACACGCATGCGTTCCTTCTCACCAGACCCTGCCGGCAGACCCTCAGGGTCTTGTCCCCCGTGGGCACGGCGGCTGCACACAGCTTCCTTTTGTGAGCTGCCATGTCCCTGGCAGGTTCCGACGTGCAGATTTGTTCTGAACGCCGCGGAGCTCCTTCCGCCTCTGCCTGTCAGTGCCACCCACATTTGCGTTTGTTTTATTGCCAGCTGTGCCCCACTTTGGATTAAGCCTGATCTGAGATCTGGTACACTCGCCTTGCCCACGTGGGTCTGTGCGTCTGGAGGGCAGGACCTGTGAGGAAATCCCCGGGGGCACGCGAGGTGTGGCACTGTCTGACCTGCCTCGGGTTGGTGCCTTTCACCAGGCCTCACCCCCCCATTCCCCCCCTTTTCCTAAAGTGCAGATAGGGTGAGGTCTCCCGACAGCTTTAGAGAACTTGGAGTCTCAGACAACAAACAACACAAGGTCGCGTCCACCTTTCCAGACGCGTGTGCCAGGCGTGCCCAGAAGCAAGGAGCCGCGCCTCCCAGCAACACAGCGCCTGCCGCGCTGCTTGGCCCTGGGTGGAGGCCTGGAAGTGGTTAGAGCTCCGCCAGGTCCTTTCGCGCACACGCGCGTGTGGCCGTGGGTGTGGCAGGGTGGAAGGACTCTGTGGCTGGGGGTTGCTGGCTGGGAGCCAGCCCCGTGCCCCGCCTGGACGGGGAGATGGGGAGAGCGCCGTCCATCCACCCGTCCGTGCCCGTCCGTGCGTCCATCCGCCCGCGCGCGGGGCCCCGCCCCGCCTCACGCCTCCCTTCTCTGCCCCTCCTCCCTGTCCGCTCTGCAGCTGGGGTCTGCCTCCCCGTGTGTGTGGAGGTGCCCTCGGAGACGGAGGCGGTCCAGGGCGAGCCCATGAAGCTGCGCTGCATCTCCTGCATGAAGAGGGAGGAGGTGGAGGCCACCACGGTGGTCGAGTGGTTCTACAGGCCGGAGGGCGGTAAAGACTTCCTTGTATGTCCCGGCCTGTGCGGCCGCTCCCCGGCTCCCACGCGGCCTCTCTTCCTTCAGCTCAGCCGCGGGCAGGCAGAGGCAGCCTGGCTGGGAGGAGGGAGGCAGCCCTGCTTAGAGCTGGGTGTGCTAGCGCCTGTCCTGTGGCCTCTGGTCTGTCCCATCCTCCCCGCAGTCCCCCGGGAGGTGGTTAGGGAACGCAGAACAGAGCAGAGCAGAGCCTCCCTGTAGACGCAGCGCAGGCTGCCCGCTCCCCCCCCCCCGCCCCGCCCCAGACAGCGCTATGCCCGCACCCCGCCCGCGCCCCGCCGCGCCCATCATCCTAGCTGCTCAGGAGGCTGAGATCTGAGGATGGCGGCTTCGAGCCAGCCCACACGGGAAAGTCCAGCAAAAAGCTGGAGGTAGAGGTGTGGCCTAAGTGGTCAAGCACCAGTCTTGAGCTGAAAAGCCCAGGGACAGCGCCCAGCCATTTTGGCAGTGCCCTTTACCTTCCTGGCCGAGCAGGAAATGGAGACCTCGCCGGGGAAATCCCGCTGGTCCAGCCGCAGCTGGTGCGCGCCCTTCGGGGGCACGGGGGCACGGGTCCTTCGGAAAACGCAGGCCCAACATGAAAACCCTGAGGTTCAGATGTCCAGGGGCAGCGGGGGACCCTGGGTCCTGCCCTGGCCAGGCCAGCTGCCGCCTGTCCCAGGGCCAGCCAGGCTGGGCCGCCATGCCTCCCGCCCCGCCTCCTGCTCTGCCTCCTGCGGCCCCTCCTCTGCTCCTGCTCCTGGGCCCCCCGGAAAGCACCAGCCACCTTCCCTCCTTCCCCCTTCTCCCCTGGCTTTTCCTGCCAGGCCTTCCCCACTCACCCGTCCCCACCTCTCCCCTGTGGGTCACGTGTCCCAACACCTGTCTGCCTCCTTTCCGCTACCGTTCCACCCCTGCCGCAGTGTGGCTCTCCTGGGGACATGGCCCCTTCTGCCCGTCCCACCTTTCCTTCATGCCCCACCCCCGCCCTCCGCCCCCTCCCCCCTGCCCCTGCCCCCTCTCCTGGCTCCACCTGCCCCGCTCCTCTGCTGCAGATCTTTGAGTATCGGAATGGCCACCAGGAGGTGGAGAGCCCCTTCCAGGGGCGGCTGCAGTGGAACGGGAGCAAGGACCTGCAGGACGTGTCCATCACCGTGCTCAACGTCACCCTCAACGACTCGGGGCTCTACACCTGCAACGTGTCCCGCGAGTTCGAGTTTGAGGCGCATCGGCCCTTTGTGAAGACCACGCGGCTGATTCCCCTCCGGGTCACGGAGGAAGGTGAGGCGGAGGGCCGGCCGGTGGGGGGCGGAGGGGGGGAACCTGGCGGACGCTGCGGGCTGGCAGGAGGCCCTGCCTCACCACCGCCCCTCTGCCCCGCCAAGGCTTGGAGGACAGCGGGGCCGCGAGCCAGCCGGGGCCTGCGTGGACGCTCAGAGAAGCGTGGGGTTATCTACAAGTTCTCTCCCTTCCCACCTGGAGCCAGCGACAGCGCCAAAGCAGTGCTCTCAGGGTTCAGCAAGCCCAGAGCCAGATGCAGTAGTTCATTTTTATTTCTTGGGGTAGTGGGACTTGAGTTCGTGCCCGTGCTTGCTAGTCGAGCCTCGGCCCGGCCCTCGCCGCTGTCACTGCTTTTCAGGCAGGGCTCGTGGGGCTGGCTTTGCACTGTGGCTCCCGCCTCGCTCTCCCGTACTGAGAACGGGGTGCCCCAGGCCGACACCACACCCGCCCTTCACGCTGGGCTTCTTAGAACACACACTTTCTGATTCTGTAGAATTTGCATCGTGCAGCAGACCGCCCGGGATGCTGGCGCTGTGAGAACGCGCTCTGAACCATCTTTTTTTGGCTTTGGCGTCTGGCTTTCTCTGCAGCAATCATCAGCCTTCGTCACCTGTGGCATTTTTCTTCCCATATCTCCATTCTTGGCTGGAAGTGACCCTCGAGAGCTGTCCGAGGGTACTGTCTGCAGACGCCTCTGGCTGCGTCCGTGTCTGTGAGCCGGTGGCTCTCGCAGCACCCCAACACAGTCCAAGCCCAGAACCCAGGCAGGACGCCCAGCTCTTCATTCCCTCCTGTAGTCTCGCCAGCGGGCCCAGGCGCTGTACTTCCAGCTCCTTGCAAATGTGTCTTCACACGCCAGCGTGTGATCAGCTCAACCAGGGGCCGCTCACAGCGGCCGCTCAGTCATGTCCTTAGCATGTTCCTAGCATGTTCTTAGCATCATGGCTGCACTTAGACATAGAAGGGTGAGCTCATTGTAGCCTGGGTCATGAAAAAAAGCAAGTGAGGTCAAAGTCAGCATCCTGCCTGGAGCAGTGACCCAGGAACCCTGACCTCCGGGACGCAGTCGATGTTTTTAATTTGTGGTAAAAATAAAGAGGTGAAGGTTGTCCCGTCCTGAGAGTGAATGGCAGAGAAGATGCAGGTACACCAAGATTAAAGTGGAAGGTGGATCCCTTATGGAGGCAGAAAATGCTGAGAGCACCCGCGTGAGGGGGGTCCCTGCCCCTCTCCGTGTCCGCAGGGCGCGGCTGGCGGCTCTCTGGAGTATGGAGTAGCTTCTCTTCAAAAGTTCCATTCCTCTCCTGTTTACTTCGCCCGCTCCTCTCTGGGGACCGGAGCCTGGCGCCCTCTGCTGTTCAACCTCCGGAACTGTAGGCTGCGGCCTTCTAGATCTAGGTAGATGCCACTCCGAGGCCTTTGCCTCCAGAGGCCCCCTGGCCCTGGGGAAGTGAGCTAGCCAGGCAGCCTTGGGTAAGAAGAGAGGGGAGACAGGGTTGTTATTAGAACCTCAGAGCTGCTCGGATGGTTCAGTTGGAAAGAAGTGTGGAGGATCCCCGGGAGACTCAAAGCTGCAGGTGCGAACTCAGTGGGTTGGGTGCTGTCTGTCATGTTTAGGTTAAAACACCCCCCTCTCTCCGGACTGGGGGAGGGGGCTCTGGGGCTGTGAGGGAGGGGCTGGCTCACGGGTGTGAAAGGGAGAGAGAGGCGGAGGCAGAATCCATTTACCCACCCCAGCCGCCTGCCCTCCTCCCTCCTCCCACCGCCACCCACCTTCTGTTTGTCTTCTCCTTTCTTCCCTGCTGTCCTTGTGGTCCCTTGGCAGCCTCCCATGGGACCCTCCCCGTCCCCCGGTTGCTCAGAGGTGGCGACCCCATCTCCCCCATCCCCCATCCCTGGGCCTTTCTGTTCAAGTTGGACTCTTCCTGGCCTTAGGCTCTTGGCTCCTGTTCTGAATAGAAATCTGAAGCCTCTTTATCTAGAGGAACGGAAACCACTGAGAAGGGGCATGGAGGCATGGCTCACGGGGGTAGAACACCTGCCCAACAAGCACAAGGTCCTACGTTCAAACCCTAGTGCACCACTAAGAAAAACCACCCCCTGAGAACAGCTTCCGGGGTGGAACCCTGAATGAAGCAGCCAGTGAGAGCCAGTGAAAGCTCCAGCTCCTTTAGTGTTGATGCTCAGTGAAGCCAGACTTAGCCCACACCAGTGCCCACACCAGTGCCCGCACCAGTGCCCGCACCAGTGCCCACACCAGTGCTCACACCAGTGCCCACACCAGTGCCCACACCAACGCCCACACCTGTGCTCACACCTGTGCTCACACCAGTGCTCACACCTGTGCCCACACCTGTAAGCCTAGCTATTCAGGAGGCTGAGATCTGAGGATCAAAGTTAAAGCCAAAAAATCCAAGGGACTATCTCCAGCTAACCAGTATAAAAAGTACTGGCTTGAGGCCTGGCTGGAGTGGGAAAGCACCAGCTGTGAGCAAGCAGCCAGACGAGAGGAGGCGGCGCCGAGTTCAGGCCCCAGTACTGGCGCACACAGAACAGGCCCCGCGGCAGATATGGGCATGTGGGACACACTCGATCTGAATCTCCTCCTCCTCCTCCTCGCAGCTGGGGAGGACTTCACCTCTGTGGTCTCGGAGATCATGATGTACATCCTGCTGGTCTTCCTCACCTTGTGGCTGCTCATTGAGATGATATACTGCTACAGAAAGGTCTCGAAGGCCGAGGAGGCAGCCCAAGAGAACGCGTGAGTGCAGAGCCGCCCAAGTCACGGTGAGAGCTGTCGGGGCGAGGAGGCGGCTGGCAGCCGTCAGGACAGCCCACACGCAGCAACACCGTCGCCCCCATTTACAGAGGAGCAACAGCAAAGGGGGCGAGTTGCCTGCAGACCCTTGCCAGCCCATCCCTGCCGCACGCTGGCCTGCGTGTAGCCAGTGAGGGGAGGACCAGCCGCTGCCGCCGCCCCGCAGCCCCCCGCCCCGGCCCATACAGTCTCCAGCAGCAGGCAGGGGTCAAGTGGCCCGCTGGGGTTGGGCACAGTGAATGGAGACGGTGGGATTTGAACCTAGTCTCCCTGTCCCTCGCATCCATTGCCACTCCTTGTGTGGGGTCAGCTGGTTCCTCCAGGGCGCTACCTCGAGTCCCACGTTCTTCCCTTAGAACCTCGAGGCCACTGAAGACCCCACCCAGGGGCTGTAAACTTCTCCTGTCCAGCCCACACCTCCCTCGTTCCACCAAGACCCCGGGTCCCTCAAGAGCACATGCGAGAAATGAGGGACACGAGAGGGAAGGGTCTAAGGGACCACGCTGGCAGGCTGAGCGGGGAGAGGAAAGACAGAAAAGAACTCAGGCAACAGCCTGGAACGCCAGGGCTGGTAACACCTGGAGATGTGTGTGAAGCGCTGCGCACGACGATGCACACGCAGCTGTAGTCCTGGCTACGCAGGAGGCTGGGATCTGAGCGTTACGGCTTGAACCTAGCCTGGGCAGAAGAGCCCATTTGACTCTTACTTCCAACTAACCAGCAAAAGGCCAGAAGCAGAGGTATGACTCAAATGGTAGAATGCAAAGCCAAGGGAGAGCGCAAGACCCAGAGTTCAAGGCCTAGTACTGGCACTAAGTCATAAATAAATAAAACCCTTTTTACACGATATCTATGACCTCAGGAAAGTAAAAAAAAAAATATGTGATCAGATACACATAAAAAAATTATGCTGAGGGGCTGGGAAGGTGGCTCAGTGGTAGAGCGCTTGCCTTGCATGCCTGAGGCCCTGAGTTCGATTCCTCAGCACCACATAAGCAAAAAGAAAAAAGCCAGAAGTGGCGCTGTGGCTCAAGTGGTAGAGCGCTAGCCTTGAGCTGAAGAGCTGAGGGACAGTGCCCAGGCCCAGAGTTCAGGCCCCACGACCGGACCCAAAAAAAAAAGAAAAAAAATTATGCTGAAACAGGCTGTGATTTCTTAATTGCTTAGATTTTGGTGCTCGAGCAGGAAATGCTCATGTTTAGACAGGAAGTACCCAGGCTTAGGAAGTACCTAGATTGGGTCCATACAGGAAACAGAATTGGAACTAAGACCCTCAGAAGAACCAGAATCCCAGAGAGCTGTGACCCATCCACAGCGACCAGAGGCAAGTCCAGGAAATTTACCCTGACTCCACATAGAAGCATAAAAGAGTCTGGAGAATTAGTGACCAGAAGCGTGGCCTCACGGAACTTGGATTTTAGTTGATAGGACTCCTGTGATCCAGGCAGCTCTGAGATGAGGAACTCGGGGGAAGCGTCTCAGGCAGTGCCATGGTGCGTCTCCTGGACACACGGGAAAAGTCATTCTTCCCAGACCATCTCACAGTTTGCTCCCAGACTGATACCTGTAGGCCCATGTCAGTCTGATCCACGAGCAAGCCACGCTCTCCTCCCTGCCTGCCCCGTAGGTCTGACTCTCCTCCCTGCCTGCCCCGTAGGTCTGACTCCCCTCCCTGCCCGCCCTGTAGGTCTGACTCTCCTCCCTGCCCGCCCTGTAGGTCTGACTCTCCTCCCTGCCCGCCCTGTAGGTCTGACTCTCCTCCCTGCCCGCCCTGTAGGTCTGACTACCTTGCCATCCCGTCGGAGCACAAGGAGAACGCCGCGGTCCCCGTGGAGGAATAGCGCCAGGGCCTCGCGGTGGCTCCAGGTGACTAGGACATGGCGGGGAGGGGACTGCGGGGTCTCTGCTGCCTGGGGCACCCGCAGCCCCAGTGACTTCACGTCTGGCTCCTTAGGCCAGGTCCTCCCCACCCTTGAGGTTCTTTGGTCGATGCTCAGGTGTCCAGTCCTTCAGGGGTGACCTTCAGGGGTGACCTGAGCCGTGGGGAAACCTCATGCCCACCCCTCCCCCGCCTCCCCAGCATCCGATCCTCGCCTGCTCCCTCTCTGAGCACAGCATGTTTGGATTCCACCGGGGCCGGAAGTTCTCAGTGAGTTGTTTTGTCGTTGGTAGGTGACCTCCGCACCCGGGTTCAAGAGGTGGAGGGCAGCAGGAGGCGCAGCCCAGCCCGCCCTCGCTGCAGCCGCACCCCTCCCTGCCCACGCGGCGTGCACCCACCGCATCTGACCGTTCACTCCTGACCTCCCCCTCCGTCAGCACCCCACTCAGTCAAGACTCTGCCACCACGGAGGAGCCAGCATTTTCCATGGACTCAACCTCATCCTCTCCTGCCTTTTCCAGCCGGATTTCTCCCGTGGGCAGCCAGTGCTGCAGAAGTGCTGGAGGGTAGAGCGTCCCTCCGCTCCCCCGGCCGGGGCGGCTCTGCCTCCATTGCTGCAGGAGATGGACGCAGGCAGTGACTCGGCCGGGTCAAAGCAAAAGCCTGCTGTGTACCGGGGCACTGTGAGGTCGAGTGTCCCCAGTTCACGGCCCACGTGGCTACAGCTCCAGAGAGAAGCATGCCTCTCTAGGCTCTCCTTCTATACGGACTGAGGTGTTCTCTGGAGCTTAGTACTCCAGCACTAGAGCCCGACCGGTCTCTGGAGACCTGGACTCCGTCCTGAGGCACCAAGGACGAAGGGCAATTTAAGGAGCTCGTCGGAGTCACATGACACCGTTCTGATCTTGTTTGGATTTCTCTCTGTCCTTACAGAGAGCAGAGAAACAGTGGGAAAAATATTAGTCAACCTCATTTTCACTTTAGAGACTGATCCAAGGGCAACACCCTTCACACCCGGCGATGAGAGAGGGGAGGGGGGTCTTAGAGGATGCCAGATGGCAGTGTCTGAGGCCCGGCCAGAGCCTGCCCCTCGGAGCTGGGAGATTTATACACAAGGCCATTTTCCTTGGGCTTTGGGCTGCATGTAACAAGCTCATTTTCTTTCCATCTCTTCCATCCCAGAGATGTCCTTGAAATGAGACCCCACACACATAAGTCGGAAGGAAATACTGCAATAAATCCAAAACCCTTAATAGGAATTTTCCACGCTATCCTTCGGAGACTGGGGATAGACTGTTACAGTAGGAAACAAGTCTGGTTAGCACAGGTTTACCTAGTCACAACCGGTCCAGCAAGCTCTTCCTTTCCACGCCACTTCCGCTTGGTTCCGGTGGACCGGGCATGTAGCTTGTAGTGAGGTGGTCTGCATGACTGCTTTTCTCTTCCTGCTTTCTTTGTGCACGTGCTTGCTTAGCTGCACTGGGGTTTCAACTCGGGGCCTCAAGCTTGCTCTGCTTGCTTGTTTGCCTGGCACCCAACCATTTGAGCCTTGAATCCAGCCCAACTTTTTGTCAGTTATTTTGGAGGTGGCATCTTGCAGATTTTCCTTCCCGGGCTGGGCCTTGGATCCTCTAGATCTCAGCCTTCTGAGTAGCTCAGATTACAGGTGTGAGCCACCAGTTCCGGGCCTTTTTTTTTTTTAAAGCCCCTCCCCAATGTCTTCAAAGTGATTTCTAATGAAGCTGAATGATACGCATTGTTTATCCAAGTTATCTTTCTCTTCCTTTTTCTGACTCTTCGACCCCTCGCGTCGTTGATGCTGTCATTGGAGCGTATGGCTTGTGAGGCCATTTTATGCCTCTGCAGTGGCCTCTTGGGATGGACGTTAATGAACACGCAGTGGAGATGAGGACGTTAAGCAGCTTTACTGAATCGTGACACTAGAGAATCAGCAGAGCCGGAATCAGCCTTCTCACCTCCAGCCTGGCTTGCCTCTGCCCACACACTGCCGCCTCCTGCCCCTCTCTGTCACGGCCACCGAGCTCTTCGCTGCCTTTGCTTCGCCGCCAGCCTTCACCCTCCTCTTCCCCTCCCCCACCGCTGCGCGGCGTGCTGGACGGCAGGACGATGCCGGACAGAGTCCATCTCCTTCTCGGTGTCCGAGTTGGGTTTGCGCTTCATCTCTCCAGAGCTGCAGCTCAACTCCTCCCCAGAGCCTTGACCGTGACGATAAATCACCAGCCTATTTAAGTCTTCACCCTTCTCCCTCTGCCCCATATTCCTGCACAAGGCCCAGCTACACATGTGCGGCTCTGAAAGCTTCGTCTGGCATGCGGTTGCTAATCGAAGGGCTTAGAAGCCATTGTGAACCCCACCTGTCGTCCTGACGCTGGGACTTCCCAAGGCTGATTCTCAACACAGCTCAGCCAGGGCCACGCGGAGCTGGGGGTGGCGCTGCCCAACCCACTGCCTCACCGCCGCCAACGTGACCCGCTGGGCTCCAAGGCCGCTGGCCTCTTGGGCCTCCACTGTCAGCGCAGCCTGGTGGCAGAGCTCCGACCTCGGGTGGGAAGACCTGGCAGCCAGCGCCCGTCCTTCCCCCAGCCTCCATTTCCAGTTTGTTTACCTTTACCTTTCCATTCTCCATCTCCAACCATTTGCATATAGAGTTTTTTTTTCTTCAAGGTGTTTTTGGGCGTGCCTTTGATGTCAGACTAGCACTGTGAGTAGCAAAGGAAAATTCCCAAGGAGGAAATACGCTGAAAAATATGTCCCACAGTGAATGGCGAAGGGGAGGAGAAAGTACTGTCTCCTTCTAGTCCTACACAGGACAATAAAAACATGTGTCAGGAAGAATAGTACACGCCAGTCGTCCCAGCTAATCGGGAAGCTGAGGCAGGAGGAAAGCTGGAGCCCACAAGTTAGAGGTAAACCTTGCAAAACAGCCTTGTCCAACACAGGAGGTGAGGGAGAGAGGAGAGCAAAGCAAAGAGAGAAGGCTGTGCCGAGAGCCTTGCCGGAAGGAGGGTCAAGAGCTAACTTTTCAGACACGTCTTTGACCATCCCCTTTCCTGGTAAGCGGAAGAGTAATGGGAGGAGAAAACAACAGAAACCTCTGCCCCCCCTCCCCCTGCAAACAGATGGGAGCCCCGGCTCCGTGGCCTCCTGTGGCCGCTGGACATGGGTCCCGATAGTGCTTGGAGTGCCTGATATCGGCCTTCCCACCCTCCACTCCCCCGACTTCATCCAGCACCCACCCGTCTACACCCGAAGATTCTGGGCGTGAAAATGCCACCATCCAAACCCTACTTCATCCCTCCGGTACCATGGTAGACGGTGAGCAAGTCTGACCACAACTCTGGCGCAGGCCGGCTGCACCGCGGAGCCCGAGTTGCTCCGTCCTTGCTCCCTGCGTCCACGCTGCTGGCTGGACGGGCAGGGTGCCGGTGGGTACGGGCAGGGTGCGGCGGGTGCGGGCAGGGTGCTGGTGGGTACGGGCAGGGTGCGGCGGGTGCGGGCAGGGTGCTGGTGGGTACGGGCAGGGTGCGGCAGGTGCAGGGGGTAGGGCAGGGCGGGAAGGGAGGTCACCCTGACCAGTGCTTGTGAACCACCATCATCAAACACAACTAGCAAACTCGGCATGGCGGTAGATGGAACCTTCCCTCCTGGTCGCCCCACGGCACCTCCTGCATTTCCTACCCCAGAAACATTGCGAGACCACCCATGCCCACAGCCTAACGCTGCTCGTAGTGTGTTCTTTCAATAACCTTCCTGTTCTCAATAAAGCGGGCTCTGGCTCTGCTGTGCTCTGTGTGTGTGTCTGCTGCGTAGACTCTGGCGCCCCTCAGCACCTCATGGGACCCCGTGCTAGACTCCAGCCCCTCCCCCCACCCAGCACCTACACCCTATGAGCACACCCAGAGAACGGAAACACTCCCTAGTCTACCAGGAAACATGGCTCTGTGTGATCTTGCCTATTCCCTTTCCCTCCTCTACTGAGATTCAGAAGAACACAGGAGACATCATCTCACCCAGCATCAACTTTGCTGACCCGGTGGTAGACGCCACTGGTGAGGGAACTCAGGGAGATGGGGGGCAGGGCTCTCGTCTCTGCTTCCCGAGGCGCATAATGCAAGGCAAAGTGTCTCCTGATTTCTCTTGTCCTGGAAGTGCCAAGATCCCCCAAAGGGAAAAAGTACGACAGGAAATGGGATTCCGCCACCACAGCTCTTACAGTAGCCCAGACTGAGCCGAAACAAAATCAGTCTGGGTGTGATGGCTCATGGCTGGAACTGAGGCTGCAGGGGAGGCTCAGATGGGGAACATGTCACCGACTCCCAAGCAGTCAGGCTGGGCACAGTGGTGTGCTGCTGCGTCCGGGCTGCACAGGAGGTGTAAACAGGCGGATCACGGTCCAGGTCAGCCAGGCACCGATGCCAGACCCTATTTGAAAAACAGTAAGAACAGAAAGGGCCGTGGACGTCATTCAGGTGGCTGCCTGGCCGGAGCGAGGCCGCAGTCACACGTGCTGCCGAAGAACATCTTCAACACACCAGGGTGTGGGCGGCGCTATGCGGCCCCGGCGGGCCCGGCGCACAGGCGCGCACGCCAGGAACACGCGCCACGAGGACCGCGGCCACACGAGAAACCACGCGCGCCGCCCGCGCGCGATTCAGTGCTCTGCTCTTTAGTTCACGCTGCGCGGCCACGGCGCGGCGCCTCACCGAGGTTTGGCTTCCCCGGCCTCACGCACAGCGCCGGCCACGCGCACAGCGCCGTGCACAGCGCCGGCCTCGCGCACAGCGCCGGCCTCGCGCACAGCGCCGGCCTCGCGCACAGCGCCGGCCTCGCGCACAGCGCCGGCCTCGCGCACAGCGCCGGCCACGCGCAGTGCCAACCAGACAACTTACTGCCACCGACCGCGTTCTTCCCCGTCCGGGGCCGGGGTGAGGGTGGGCGCTGGTCCCTCTCCTCACCCCCCCCCCCACGCCGCCCCGTCAGCGTGGCTCAGGGGCCGCCACGGCTGCTCACCCGGTCCTCCCCACCGCGGAGCCCAGGCTGAGTGAGGGCAGAGCACCGCGGTGGGGAAGACGGCGTGGTCCCTGCAGACAGTGGTCTGGCCCTGGGTGCAGGGAGGGAAATGTGGGTGCCACACATACTGGTTGGCAAAACGGGGGGGTCCCCGTGCAGCTGCGCACACGGTGTGGGGGGGTCCCCGTGCAGCTCCGCACACGGTGTGTGTGGGGGTCACTGTGCAGCTGCGCACACGGTGTGTGTGGGGGTCCCCGTGCAGCTGCGCACACGGTGTGTGGGGGGTATCACCGTGCAGCTCCGCACACGGTGTGTGGGGGGGTCCCCGTGCAGCTCCGCACACGGTGTGTGTGGGGGTCACTGTGCAGCTGCGCACACGGTGTGTGTGGGGGTCCCCGTGCAGCTGCGCACACGGTGTGTGGGGGGTATCACCGTGCAGCTCCGCACACGGTGTGGGGGGGTATCACCGTGCAGCTCCGCACACGGTGCCCGCGCCCGGGGCCAGTCCCATCACAGAGCCAGCCGTACCACCTGGCTCGCTGCGACGTCTCTGGTGTGGAGAGAAGCGAGAAGGCCCGGGGCGGAGGTGGCCATGTCCTTCCACCCTCCGTGCGGCGGGGAGAGCAGCCGGCTGGCCACACGCCGTCACAAGACCCCTGAGCGGTCGCCCCGGACACAAGCCCGGAGCGGACGGAACCCCCGGCCGGCTGGAGCAGGGGGAGGCGACGAGCAGAGGACGCGCTGCCGGCTCACTCTGCAAAGCAGGACGGGCAGACAGCCTTCCAGAAAAAATCCAAAGCCAGAACCATCCCAACTCGTGGGCCCAGAATGAATGTTCTGGAAAGATAAGGGATCGGCCAGCCTGCTGGAAGTTGGGGGTGGGGATGGTTGTTCCGAGGCCGGGAGACGGGTAGGGTGGAGTTGGGAGGAGGTCCTTGGGGATTCCTGCAGGCCAGGACAGGGCCTGAGGGAGATTCCCCCAGGGCCAGTCCCAGACCCCGGCAGACGGGGCGGGCGGTGGCCGGGCACCGGGCAGCACAACACAGAAAGGGCCCTCCCTCTTGGACCACGGCAGGGTAGGGCCCAGGGCCCATCATTTTCCCAGGACCTCACCCTACAGACTCGCCCCAACGCACGTAGACTATGGGCCACATTCCCTCGAGGGCCTACACCAACCGCAGGACTTTGAGCCCAGAGAGGACGGCGAGGCTGGGCATGGCTTCACACCACTCTGCCCTCTGCCGTGAGGAGCTATGGCGCGACGAGACTTCACGATGCTGAGATGGAGGATGGGCTCATCCCTGATAGTGCTCTTCTGTCCCCGACCCTCTCCTCCCAGTCCCTCGCCAAAGGAAGAAGAAACGCCTTCCCAGGTCGACAGACGGCGGCTCTGGCGTCTGCTGCGGGGCCTCCCAAGCCCTCCAGCCCCCGAGCACAGCGCCTAGCCACTCCGCTTCTGGGACACCCACACGCTGCGCAAGCTTCCACCCCAGAGAGGCCGGCCTCCGCCTGTCACCGCGGACACTGCAGCTGACCACAGCGCCCGGCTCAGCGCCAGGCGGCTGGCCTTGCGGTCCTGGGACGAGGTGGTCCCCTCGTCCCGGGAGGCAGAGGAGCTGTCTACACGGCCAGCTGCTGGGAGGCGGGTCGGGCCGATCCCGCCATAGTCAGCCGGAATGGAAGTCTATAATTCTGGAGCTGTGCTTCATCTGGTTAGAAACTGCACATTAGGACTGAGCGCAGCCTCTCGAACATTCTCCCACACGAATCCTCACAGGGAGAGGTCTGCGGGGCCTTCAGCATTCCTCCATTATTAACTACAACTAAAATAAAAGCCGGTGGCCGGCAGGCGCTCACCCTGGCAGGGCTGACCCAGGCTTGTCTGCAGGAGAGACTGAGCCTTCTCCTCACAACTCACTGCCTAAGGGAGGAAATCGGTTTCGCGGGGGAACGCATACTTCTTGTGTTTTCTGGTTTCAAAGCCAAAACAAGGCTGCGGCTGCGGCACGGGTGGAGCGCCGAGGGTTCGCGCCCCTGAACGGCCATCACGATAATAACGAAAACCACAGAGAAATCTCACAAGAGATCCATGGTGTTTTTTAAAGGAGACACACCCTAGATACACACATCACTCCTGGGGTTCTGGGGTTCAAACCACCAGCTCCTCTGACACCCGAGCGGGCCGTGCAGGCAGCAGGGCTCCGTGGCCAACGCTGCTCCCGCCACCCCCTCCCCCCACGCACACACCCACTTTACGCCATTCTGTAGGACTCACGTCATCTTTAATAATGAGGCTCAGTGATCACGTATGCCATCAATTGAACAGTTCTGGGGGTGATTTGGGGCCCCGGGCTACTCCCAGGGGCAATTCTTTGGCATCTGCACCTTTCCTTCGCGGTGTGGCTCACGGTGCTGACTGCGGTCCGAGGCGTCTCCCTCAGAGTCCGGGACGAAGAAGGACTGCGTGGTGAGCCACTGTGGTCGGGGCACGCGCAGCCTCCGTGAGACGCGTCTCACCTCTCCACCCTCCTCCCGTGGACGAGGGCCGGGCAGCTACCCGGAGTCCTCACCGTCCCTCTGGAAAATACCAAGACCTAGCTCTCAGACAAGACTCAAAGAAGTCAAAAGCTTTCCATTTCTGAAAATGCAATGTTCCAAACCATTCTAAGAAAAGCCCGCCGCTGCAGTTGGTCACGGTAACATCTTCCCTCCTTGGCGCTGGTGTTTTGGGAGAGCTGGGCTCTGGGTTCTTTCTGCCGTTTGTGCCAAGAGGCCCAGGAGAAGAAGGAGCGCGTCTGGCCAGGTGAACCGGGGTTCTGCGCTAGGGATGTCCATGAGCCCTGCCCAGGGCTGGCAGCATTCCTATGGTTATGGCGGAAAAAACCAGTAGTGTGTGGGCCATGGACACGCCCAGAAGGGCCTCCCGTGATCAGAGAAAGCCAGCAGTCCAAGTAGGCCAAATCTGGCGGGCTTATGCTCCTAATTCAGCGTCTTCCCTCTACTTCTTGGTAATCTCGTACTTCTCTGGAACCAGAAACTTGCAGGATTTGCACACACGCACACAAACAAGCCCAGAGACGCAGGGATGGGATGGGATGGCCTCCGTGTGGGTAGCGGCTCCGTCTGTCCAAACACAAGCACCTGCGCCAAAGCCTGTCCTTCCGCGGTCTCAGGAGCTGTCTTCACTGCTGACGCCAAACACGCCGGACCCACAGAGGCTGGGCTGGGGCGCTCGCTACAGAATGCTGGGCACGACCTGCCAACACCCACGATCCTAGGGCGTTCTCTCTCTCTTTCAAAGTCTTGCTCACCCTGGAGAGGCTAGGACACCCTGAAGCACATCCCAGATTCAAACTCACAGCTCACAGCGAAAGATCAGAGCTACGGATCTGACTTGGGTTCTAACCACTAACCTGGGTTTAACAACGTCAAAAATGTCCTACCCGTGGCTAATAGACAGCGTGCTCTTAGGGCACAGAGAAACAATAGGACTTTAGGCACTAGAAAAGTGACACTCCTCCCAGATCCAGCCTGGGAGAAAAAACCAGAGAGAAAAAGGGACCACAGCCAGCCCAGCTCAGAGCGCAGCGCAGGGCAGAGCAGGCCCGGCTGAGAGGGCGGCTCGGGCCGGCCCGTGGCCTCTGTGCCCAGGCCCTCCGATGCTGCCAGCCCGCCCGCCCGGGCCTCAGAGGGGTCCCCCGCAATGGCCACCAGGGTGGAAGTTTGGATCCGACTCTTGCCCCCCATGCTCCTGGGCTCCCGAGAGAAGGCCTAGGGAAGCAAGGGGTGGGGAAGAACAGGTTGTCTTTTATTTGGAAACAAATCAAAAAGGGATCCGGGAATGAAGCACCTTAAGCAATGCCCCCTCGAGACTTCTCTCGAGACCGCGGGTCTTCACAGGCCTGACTTTGGCTCAGCAACACTTCCCTTCCAAGAGCCAAGAGTGGCCAGCAAGGGAACGGTGAGAAATGGAGGGAGGAGGAGGATCGGGGGCGGGGTGCTGAGAGGTGGTCCCTGTCCTCAACCCTCCAGTGCTCTGGCTGGACAGGGGGGTGGGGTGGGGTGGGGGCCGCGCCTTCTCCCTGGTACATAGGTATGATCTCTTTAAAATCTGTATATAATATATATATTTATATTCTGTATATATATATATTTATATATATATATATTTATAGGGTCTATGTACACGTATTGCACAGGTCTCTGCAGTCACCCTCTCCTGCCTTGTCAGTGGTAATGGCTCCGCTTCTCCTCACTGTCGGACGTGTAGTCTCGGGACCGGATGCCGTTCTGCAGATTGATGAGCGAGTCCTTCATCTGGAAGACAGGGGCCCTGCGCTTAGGGAGTGTCTCCACGCGGCAGCGGTGGTCACGCACCCCTGTGGGAGGTCCCCAAGGAGGCCGCGGGACGGAGGGAGCAGGGGGTTCAGTCAGCTCCTCACTGGCCACCCTGGGAAGGCTCACCGTCTTTTTTTTTCTTTTTTTTTTATTGTAAAGATACTATACAGAGGGTTACAGTTACATGAGTGAGGTAATGAGTACACTTCCTCTTGAACATTGTTACCCCCTCCATTGTTTTCCCCCTACTATCCCTTCCCTCCCTACCTTCCCCAAGGTTCTTTTTTTTTTTTGATTGTGATTAAGTGACTACATAATTTCCCAAATTTCACAGTATGTGGAATAATGATGCTCATTTAAAGTGAGGCTCACTGTCTTAAGCGCTGCATCTCTCTAGAACTTTCTCTTGTTGGTGACCCATGCCTGCAATCCTAGTTACTCAAGAGGCTGAGAGCTGAGAATTGTGGTTCAAAGCCTGCTGGGTCAGGAAAGTCCAAGAGATTCTTATCTCCAGTTAACCATCAAAAAGCCAGAAATGGAACTGCGGCTCAAGTGGTAGAGTGCCAGCCTTGAGCAAAAGAGCTCAGGGACGGCACCCAGGCCGTGAGTTTCACGCCCCAGAAGTAGCACAAAACAAAAAGGAAAATGGCAGATGTCTAATGAGGAGACAAATCCATAAAAGCAGAGAGACCTCAGACAAATATGCCTGTCCAAGGCCTACAAGTTATAAAAATAGTAAATACATAAGAAGATAAATAAGAAAAAGGTTGTTTTCAACTAACTTACAGCCTTCCTGGTGTGAAGTCAACATGTGATTTTACTGACCCTAATTATTCTGAGGAATGCCTGGGCGTCTAACGCCCGTGTGAGGATGGCTTCAAGCGGGGACGGTGGACGCGCTGGTGGAGAGGAGCGAGCCTCAGGAGCGGGAGGCATGAAGGCCTTTCTCCCAGCATGAGGAGGGATCCCCATCCCTGTCCCTCCCCCCCTTGCCCACTTTGGGGACGCGGGGACGGGCAGATGCTCAGGCACCATACCTGGTCAAGGAGTATCACAGAGGATTTGATAATCTCTCTCCACTTTTGGAGCTCAGAGTCGTGGTACTTTTGTTGAGACTCTAAGAGCTGGGCCCACTCTGTCTGCGATTGGGGTAACCTGTGGGGTAGAGGGGGCGCCCCGGCAGCTGGAGTTATGCTCAGCGGACCGTCCTGTGTTCCCAGACCCCTAGGACAAAGAGTCAAATCAGAGCACCTTGTCCTCTGCTCACGGCCCTCACCACCCAGTGGGCGCCCCAAAGCAGCGGACGGAAGCCGATAGGGCTTCTCCACCCGGCTCATCCCAAAGCCGCCTCCCCCTCCCTGGTTTGTGAGGGCGGTGAGGGCATCTCAAGGGCCCTGGGGCGGAAGCTAGGCCTCGGAAGGAGGCAAGGCCAGGATTACCTCTCCTGGAGCCGGAGCCCCTGCCAGGCGGTGAGAGTCTGGGTGGTGTACTCCAGCATCCACAGCTTGTAGAAGAGCATCGTGTTGAGGATGACCAGCAGCACCAGACTAGAAGACAGATGAAGAAGGAGAAGCAAGGGCCGTCAGCCGTCAGCCGGGCTGTGGGTGGGAACTGCTTCTGCCCCGCCCGCCCCGCCCCTGTGCTGGTCCTGCCCAGCTGCGTCCTCTGAAATGAGCAAAGGGAAGCAGCAAATGGGGAGAGCAGCAGCCTGGTCTGGAGCAGCCTGGGCAGAGCAGGGGAGTGCGGAGAGGGCTGCGGGGCAAAGGTACTGGGCACGGGGAGGGGGAAGGGAGGGAAGCTGGAGAGGAAGATGAGGGGTGTAAGGGGCATCATCCGAGAGCCAGTACCTGAAACAGATCCTGATTGATGGGAGCAAGGGAGAGAAAGGAGGAGGAGGCAGAGGTTAGAAGGAGGAGTGGGGACGGGGTCGGGGGCCGAGAACAAGTGAATGCACATGAGAAAGATACGAGGCGCCGGGACCACAGGGAAAGGAGTCCAGGAAGGAGCGAACGCCCTGCCTCCCGACACACGCTGGGACTCCAGAGACAGAGGAGCAGGAGCGCGCCTCCCTCCCGGCTGCAGAGGGCCCCACACGCTGGGCCTGGGCTCACTGAGACCAGCCGAGGCCTCCCAGAGCCTGCGTCAGGACTGGTGTGAGGCAGGGAGGCCGAGCAAGGGTAACGCAGGGGCCAGAGGACGGTGTGTGTGTGTGTGTGTGCAAGGGTAACGCAGGGGCCAGAGGACGGGTGTGTGTGTGTGTGCAAGGGTAAGGCAGGGGCCAGAGGACGGGTGTGTGTGTGTATGCAAGGGTAATGCAGGGGCCGGAGGACGGTGTGGTGTGTGTGTGTCTCCTCCCAGCTTGGGGGGCTGCCTGGGTCATTTTGGGACTGAACGGAGAAGAGTAAGTCCAGACCCGCTCAGGATTGAGGACAGCTTGTGGGACCTCCCTTAACAATGTCTAACTCTATTTTGGTGGTACTGGGGCTTGAACTCACTCTCTAGGCAGGTGCTCTGCTGCTGAGCCACACCTCCAGCTCTATGTCACGCTAGCTGTTTTTGAGATAGGGTCTCACTCTCCCCTCTTCTCCCCCCCGCCCTCAGGACCGCAATCCTCCTATTTTACACTTCCCGCAGTCGTGGGGATGGCGGGCACACGCTACCACGCCCAACTTCTCCCATGCCAGGTGGAGTCCTTCGGGCTGGCTGAACCCGCAGCGCTCCCCACCCCACCTCCTGGGGTTCTGGGATGTGAGTGCTGCCCAGCACAGGGCAGGCATCTAGGCCCCTGCTGCAAGTGAACGGGCTCCTGAACCGTGGGACCGCCTCAGTCGGCATCTACCCTGCCTGGGGCTCTGGCGCGGCCCTGCCTCGCTCACTGTTGGCGTTTGCGTCCTGACGGGTCGGAGCTCCGTGTGCAGCCTCACTAGGTGCTAAGTGAAGATAGAAATGGTAAGAAGTGACAGGCTGCGATGCAGACAGAGAAGACCAGAGGACCAAGCAAACAAATGGACGCGAGGGAGGGCGCTGAGTGCGGGAGAGGCGGCAGGGGACGCGAGGGAGGGCGCTGAGTGCGGGAGGGTGGCAGGGGACGCGAGGGAGGGCGCTGTGTGCGGGAGGGTGGCAGGGTCTTCCCGGGGCTGCGTGCGGGGGCAGGGAGCGTCAAGTCCTTACACACAGCTGATAACCAGCAGCAGCTTGGACACGCTCTGCAGGTGGAATCCACTGGGGGTGTCCTCGGGGGTGTGCCGCGTCTGCGTGGAACCTGCACAGAAGAAGGAGGCCACTCAGATGCCCCGGGACGGTGCTGGTCCCTGGGACATTGGCCGGATGCTGCCCAGAGGAGGTGGGCCCAAGGATGGGGTCAACAGGAAGTCCATCCCCCCAGGATGAGGTCAGCCCCCGAGCTCGGGGCCAACGGGAGGTTAGTAAGAGCACATGAAAGTGTTAAACAGGGCCCAGAGTGCGGGAGCCTCACCCCTGCTACAGTCAGATCACACGCAAGGTGCAAATGTGTGCACAGGGAGCCTCGCCCCTGCTACAGTCAGATCACACGCAAGGTGCAAAGTCTCGTATACGTGCAAACGTGTGCACAGGCAGCCTTACCCTTAGCTACAGTCAGATCACACTCAAGGGCAAAGTCACATATACGTGCAAATGTGTGCACAGGGAGCCTCACCCTTAGCTACAGTCAGATCACACGCAAGGTGCAAATGTGTGCACAGGGAGCCTCGCCCCTGCTACAGTCAGATCACACGCAAGGTGCAAATGTGTGCACAGGGAGCCTCACCCCTGCTACAGTCAGATCACACGCAAGGTGCAAAGTCGCGTACACGTGCAAACGTGTGCACAGGGAGCCTTACCCTTAGCTACAGTCAGATCACACGCAAGGTACAAAGTCGCGTATACGTGCAAACGTGTGCACGTGTGCGTGAGCGATGGCTCCAGCCCCAGCCCCAGCGGGGACCCACCTGCCACATGCTTGGTCCTGTGGCCCACATCTTCATCGGTGGGCGTGGTGACGGGGCTCATGGCCTCTTCCAGGTGGGGCACCCGCAGGTGGGCGTGGGGCCGCTTCCGCCTGCGCACGGCGGGCGTCTTGCTGCTCTTCTCCTTGGGGGACTGCCGGTGCATCTCGGCCAGGTAGGTGCTCTCGGTCTTGGTCAGCTCGCTCTCTGTCAGGCACAGAAGGGCCGCATGACCGCGCCTCTTCCCGGCCTTCAGAGACCACTTCCTACGAGAACACCTCCCTACCCCAGGGCCTGGGAGGCCAGCCGGTGGGCAGAGGCCCTGGGGATGCCAAAGGAGGAACCCCAGTGCCCCCCCCAGCCATCTCCTCTGGACATTCCAGGGGGTGCGCGGAGGCATCGGATCCCTTGACGATCCAATCAAGTTGCAGACACGGTTGCATGAAAGATGGACCCATCCCCGCCAGTTCTCACAGCCAAGGGGGGGCCCATCAGACCGCTCACTGCCTCGTCCTCCCCTCTGCACGCCCCCCCCCCCCCGCAGTGAGAGCCGGCCCCTCCCACGCTCTCCGGGCCAGCTGGCAGCCCGCGCCGTGCGCGCACCTAAATGGCGGAAGTAGTCCTCCAGCCCACTCCAGAAGTTCTTCTCGATGAAGGTTTTCACCAAGCCCCAGGGCTGCTTTCGATACCGCAGCTCTGTGGAGACCCTGAGGGAGGAGCCGGAGGCGCAGGCTCAGGTGCTTGGCGTGAGGCCCGGACGCCCCACCGGTGAGCATGCACGCGCTGCGCCTGTGCCCACTGGCTGTCGGGGGCTGCACTCCTTCCTTCCTTCCTTCCTTGGACACACAGCCCACACCCACACAAAGGACTGCTTTGAGGCGCAGGGGTTTCCAACAGGAGCAGAGAAGGCCGCAAGCGCCGTAGCACGGGGAGCTGGCTTCTGCTGTCTGGGAGGGACACACGAGACACCCCAGAGCATGCGAAGCACACAGGCTGCCGTTTCTAAGAGCTGAGTTTCAGCACCTGACTTTTGCCAAAGCTACTAGTGATCTGAAAAGTGGAAATAAATCCACACTGGGGAGTCGTTCTAAGACTCTTGTGTGTGAGCCACAGAGAAGCACGGATGGGGGGGTGACGCAGGCTGTCCTGGCTGGGGCCGCGTGGTGAAGAGAAGCTCTCATGGCAGAACACCAGCCGTCAAGACGGAGGCTCTGTCCTCCCTTCCCCAGGAAGCGAGTGACACTAACACAGGGGCCTCTGTCTTGTTGAACCCCCCCACACACCCCCACCCGGGTACCTGAGTCGACTCTTGTTTCGGGCCACGCGCGTGAGCGTGTAGCGGTTGATGGTGTAGAAGTAGTCGTGGTAGGGCACGTCGTGGGTGAGGACTTCGGCATCGATCACGTAGCATTCGCTCTCCTGGCTCGCCTTGTACATGGTCTGCACATCCCGGGCCGGGGGGAGGGGAAGGGGGAGGGGGTTTCAAACCCAGAGATGTCAGGCGGAAAAGCATCTTTCCCAAGCGCCCCGCCCCAGGACTCTGGAATGGGAAGTGCAGAAGCACTGGAAGTGGGGCCCATCTGAGCAATGGAGACCGCCCACCCACCGGCACCTGCCTACCAGGACAGCCCCCCCCCGCCCACCGGGAAGCCCCCCCCACCTGCCCACCGGGCCAGCCCCCCCCCCACCTGCCCACCGGGACAGCCCCCCCTCCGCCCCCTGCGGCTGCTCCCACCTGCGTCTCCCTGACAGTGGCAGTTTTGGGAGCCAGCGGATTGGTAAGGGTGATGGTGTAGAGAACCATTCGGCTCTGGTTTCCATTCTCCTCCTTCTTCCACGGGTGGAAGATGATGTCTGAGGGTAGAGGGGTGCCCTGGGGTGAGGGGAGGGGCCGGGGCTCGGGAGCCCTCCCACGAGAGCACCTCCCTCCTCTCTGTGTGGACCAAGGAGGCCCACTGCTGGGGAGGAGGGAGCGGGGGGTGGAGGAGGGGAGGAGGGGGAAGGGGGGAAGGGGGGGAGAGGGATGAGTCGGAGCAGAAAGAGGCTCATTGTGGCACTGCTGAAGGGCACGCAGGGCTGAGGGTGGCGACCGTCCGGGGGCTGGGGAGGAGGTCTCGGGCCTCCTACGGGTGCTGGCAACACTGGAGGCACTGTGTCCAGGGCCTGAGGTCCCTCGGGAGGACATCGCATGACCTTCCCATGTCCTCTCCCCAGGGAGTGGGGTGACTGCCTCAGCAGTGGGGGCCCTGTGCGCTGCGGGGTGCAGGGGAAGCCGGCCACGGGGCAGCAAGGGTCCCGAGGCGGCTCTGGCCTTATGGAAGGCCTGGAGGAGGGTGTCCGGCCATCGGGAGCTCCAGGGTCACAGGAAGAGGGAGGCAAAGAGGAAGGACAGGGAGCAAGCGTGGAGGGAGGGAGGGGGGTGGGGCGGGGAGGGCCGGCCTGGCGGGTCTGACCGGAGAAACGCCGCTGCTCCATGAAGTCCCGCAGGAAGGGCGAGTTGGTGAAGAGCAGGTCATAGAGTTTGTCCACGCTGAAGTTGAAGACCTCGTTCACGTACTGGCGGCCGCTCAGGTCCTCATAGAAGGCCTGGACCTCCCCTGCACGGAGCACAGGCGGGGGGCGTGGGCAGGGCTGCGGGGGCAGCCCGCACCTGCCCACACCTGCCCGCAGCACTGCCCACCCGAGAGCTAATGCGGCGCTACCACCAAGGCCGCCTAGGTGGGTGCTGAGACTCGGGGCTCCTTTGAGCCTCCAGCGTCTCCCAGTCCCTCATGACTGTGTGTGCGCAGGCCCGTGTGCAACCTCAAGACCCGAGGCCCACATTTTCTGCATGCTTGGGGTTGAGAGGAGCATGCGACAGCCTCCAGGGCCCAGGCTGGACCATCCCGGCAGATGGCAGCCCGACCCGGCCCACTGTGGTGGCCGGGATCCCAGGCCACAGGGGTGAGAGGGCCCAAGTTAGTGACCCCAAAGTGATCGTCCACAGGTGAACCAGAGAGCTCTGCGTCTGCGCGCTAGAAAGAACCGACCAGCACTTCAGAGGAGCAGCCCAGAGACTCAGCTGGCTCCATGAGCACCGAGCACCGGCTCCACGCCCTGGACTACAGGAGCCGCACACTTCCCGAGTGGGCCCGGGAAGGTGTCTGCTTGGGGCACTGGGAGAAGGGAAGGCTCCAACCCCTGCAACGCGCAAACCTCTCTCTTTGCTGGTCTAGTGAACACCCCTGGCTCGAGTCACTAGTGAGTTCTGTAGCTATCCTGAGGAAGAGTCTGTTGAAGTCTGCGTTATTTCCGGGGATCTACTGAGCGATGCTTTCCTTGGGACATGTCAAGGTTTCCTGGCCTCCCGTGGCTGTGGGGCACCGCGCCGGACAAGCCGCTATTAACAGGAGGGGCATTTTGAGACAAGTCTGAACGGCAGGACAAGCGTTGCGGGACACGTGCAGGAAGACGGGCCCTGCAGGGCTCTGGAGCGGGCGTAGCTAACACCAAGGTGCCCTTTGGTACACAGAGAGCTCCGGGGTCTGCAGGCGGACCCCAGACACGCACTGCAAGCCTTCCGGAAGGCACCGGGGGTCACGCTGAGCCGCCTACCTTCATCGTGAGTGTCTGAGGAATCGCTGAGCTCGGTGGGGATGTCCTCGTTGTCGTTGAAGTCCAGGGAGGGGGAGGTGACAGGCGCAAGGATCTCCATCTTCTCCCCTATGATGTTGTCCAGGGCAAGCTCCTTCTCCAGGGGCCCGTCGCCCTCCAGCCCCTCCTCCTCCAGCGCCAGGCCGTCAAACTGCAGCGGAGACACGCAGTGAGGGGCCCGCCCCCCCATGGGAGATACGGCCTGGCCGGGACATCCTCATGCTCACAGGAAACGCTGTGAGACTCTGACCTCCACTGGACTACTCAGAAAAACCCGAAGTGGCGCTGTGGCTCAAGTGGTAGAGCGCTGGCCTTGAGCACAAAGAGGCTCAGGGACAGTGCCCAGGCCCTGAGTTCAAGCCCCAGGACTAGCAGAACAATAAACTTCAGAGAACTCGATACATAGTAAACAAATAGATGAACTGTTCTGTGTGTATGTGTGCGTGTGTGCATGCGTGCATGCACGTGTGTGTGCGTGCTCACATGACAGTATGCCAGTACTGGGGCTTGAAGTCAGGACCTTAAACTTTTGTTTAGCTTTTTTTGCTCAAGGCTGGTGCTCTACCACTTGAGTCACACCTCCACTTTTGCTGGTTAACGGGAAGTAAGAGACTCATGGACTTTTCTGCCTATGCTGGCTCCAAACCTTAATCTTCAGATCTCAGCCTCCTGAGTAGCTAGGATTACAGGCGTGAGCCACTGGCACCTGACAATAATAAGCATTCTACAGTTCCCACACGGGATTTTGACTTCAGACCAAGGCAACAGAAATAAAAAATATGGGCCCAAGACCAATTTCCAAGAGAGGGGTGGATCGAGAGCAGCCAGAACCCACTTCACAGGGGACGTGGAACAGTTTAATCTCCCACGTCAAACCACGTCACATAACCTAGCCAGCTAGAAGCCAGTGCGGGGCCCAGCACCAGGTCACAGAGAACCCCAGGAGTCCTGATACCTCCTTAAGGAACTGACCACAGATGCATGCATGAGCTCCTGCGGGTATCTAAGAGCCTTGGGTGCTGGGCCGGGACGGGGCCGTGGCCGCCGCTCTCACCGAGACGGGGGCCTCGCTGCTCCCTGTGGAGGTGAGCGTGCTGTTGGTGACGGACTTCTTGGGCAGCTGAGGGCTGGCATCGGGTTTGGTCTCTATGCTGCTTTTAGAGGAGCTGTCGTTCACTTCGTTCTCCTCCACGGGGATCTCCTCACAGTATCTGGAGAAGACGCCGCCCCACATTAGTCTCAATGATCAAGATCGCCGACACTTCTTAGAACTTGGGCCTGTGTCCATCTAAAAAGCAGGCTTCCCTGCTTCCTCTTACCAAAAAATCTACCTCCCTAAAACCTTCCCACTCACCCTACCTCGCCCCACCCAGCCCATGAAAAAGTTCCCTTTCCTGTTAGATTTATCCCTACCTATGACCTTTATTAATGTCGAACCATTTGGTCCACTGGATTCCATCCCTCCCTAACAACTAGAACCGCCCTGCTAAGTTCCAAACGCTACCCAAGGCAGGACTCGGTGGTACCCACCAAATTCTGGGTGACAGCTAACCAACTTCTCTGCATCGTGCACACCAGAAGAAATCTCCAAGTCGGGGGTGCTTCTGTCCCCCCCCCCCACTTTATAATCATGATTGGGAGCAGCATCACACAATGGTGTGGTGAACCATTATGTACATGGTAGAGATAACCCCATCAGTGTTGGCGAAGTCAGCAGGACACCACTAGTCCCTGCCGGCAACTCACCACGCCCAGGTCTAAGCACCACACACTCCATTTCTTTCCTGACCTGTCCCTCCTCTAGCCTGTCCCCCATGGCCACCTTCCCAAGCTCTCATGGTCCGTGTCGCTCCTCACCTCACTCCAGCGAGGGACACGGGGACAATCCCTGCTCCCCTGGGCTTCCCGGTGTACCTCCCGCCCTCCCCCCCGGGGTTTTCCTCACCACCTCTGTGGCTACCTTCTCCTAGATTCTTCCATGCTCTCATTTCCAGTCCTGGAATATTCGGTACCGAGGTGGCTGCAGCCATCCCCGAGGCCCACATTTTCCTGTGACCCCCCCGACTCTCCTAAATGTTTCCTGGCCTCCTCTGACCTTCCCACTCGGCTAGCAGGTTCCCCCAGCTTGATTTGGTAAAACCCACCTCCTACCTCCCCCAGAACCGTTCTGCACACACTTTTGTCCGTCTCCATGTGGCACCTCTCCGTTTTTCCAAATGGCCAAGTCAGCCAACCAGCCTTACTGTCGCCGTTTGTTCCTTTCTGATTCATCAGCAAATCCAGGCCCGAACTGCTTATAGCCATTTCTGACGGTCCCCAACCTGCTCCCGACACTGTCACCCTTCACTTAGATTACCTAAATTATTCACGGCTTCTGTTCCGCTCCCTTCAGGTTATTTCCAACACAGAAGCCAGAACGGTTCTGTGACGATGTGAGCTGGACAATTTCAACCCTGCGCATCCCACTCCGGAGCACCGGCCAGTCCCGCGGGCGCAGGACCCTCACCGCTGCCCCCTCCGCCTCGTGGCCTTGCCCCCCCCCTGCTCAGCCCTCTACATGCTCTTCCACCGTGCCTCGCCGTCCCCTCTGGAGTCCTCCAGGCCTCCCTTACTCACAGGACAGGCCACTCTGCCCCCCCGGGCACGCTGGCCGCCACCCCACCCCGAGTCCCAGTCCCCGGGCCGCCCGCCTGGGCCTCGCTCACCCCATGGTGTTGAAGTCGTCGTCCGGGGGCACGTAGTCCTCGTCGTCGCTGGTCAGGCCCAGCTCGTTCCCGTAACACTGGTGAACAAAGTGCCAGAGCTCCTTGGGGCACAGCGGCTGCGGGGAGGAGACAGGGGCGCTGAGCCTCTTCCTCGGGACCCCCCTTCGCACAGGGGCACCGCACACAGGCCCGCTCCCCGGGAGGGAGAAAGCCACGCTACCCTTTCCCGAGTGGACGTCAGGCCCTCTTTGGACCTCAGCCTCCTGAGCATCTAGGATTTCAGGCCCCAGCCCCCGGTCCCGGCACCCCAGCTTGATTCTCTGTTATCTAGCACCTTGCTGACAGGAGTGAAGCTCCCAGAGTAAGAAAATTCCTAGAGCCAGACGATGCGTAACAAACCAAGCAATCTGCCCAAAGGCCGTACGCACCCACGGGACCCTACCTTCTCCCCCCCGACCAGGTTCCTCCGCCCTGACTCCCCGAAGCCAGGGGTGATCAGGCCCCAAGGCCCCCTGACATTATTCACACCTGCCCACAGAGAGCCCACGCGCCGCCCTGGCCACGCCCTCCCTTCCGTCCCACAGGGGCCTCTCGAACCCCCGCCCCTCGGCGGCCTCACCGGCCCATTGGCCCAGGAGCCATGCCCCGTATATCTGGGGATCTGCAACTATAAACCCTTTCCTGCTGGGCACTGGTGGCTCACACCTGTAATCCCATCCACTCAGGAGGCTGAGAGCTAAGGAGCCCAGTTCAAAGCCAGAGTGGCAGGAAAGGCTAAGGGATTCTTCTCTCTAAGCACCAAGAAGGCCACATGTGGAGCTGTGGCTTAAGTAGCAGAGCGCTAGCCTTGAGCGCAAACACTCAGGGACAGCACCCAGGCCCTGAGTTCAGGCCCAAGGACCAGCACGGAACCACCACCACCCCCCTTTCCTCTCATGACAGTTGTTTCTTTTCCACAGCAGTTATTCCTGGGGCTGCATGTTTTGCCACGTCGGGTTGGGACATTTGAACACTGTGGGGTCGAAGGCTTTCCTTGGCAGGCTGAGGCCGTGCTCTCGGCCATGAGCTCCCTCCAGGACTGCCGGACGTCCGCACCATGGGGGCGTGGGGCTCCCCTGGACCTGGCCGGTGCCGCGCCGCAGGAGAAGCAAGCCCCACGGGGACCAGCACCTCCTTGGCTGGCTGAAGGCCGGGGCGGGGCAGCACTTACCTTTTCAAGGAGCGCATTCTGCCAGAGCCGGAACATCATCATGTACGTCCGATCCCGGGCTCCAAACGAAGTGAAAAAGTGCTAGGTTGGAAAAGAAAACCCTAAGAAACACGTGTTCAGATTTATAATAGCCTGGGGGGGGGGCGCTGGTCTGCGGCTGGCGGAATTGCTCTGTCCTGGTGTGTGTGTGTTTGGAGTCAATCCTCCCCCCCCCACCAAAGGCTGCCCACGTAGCAAGCCGCAGCATGGTCCCCTTGATGTGACTTCACCCGAACATGCACCGGGGTCCCGCCATGCGAGATCACAGCGCAGGCAGCCAGTGCCGGGCAGCGCGCTGGGCCCGGGGTCTCCATCCTCACCACAACCCCACACCCAGCTTTTTTAAAAATTTAATTTACATTTTCTTATTTTTTTGGGTCTGGTTGTGGGGCCTGAACTCTGGGCCTGGGCGCTGTCCTCAGCTCTTCAGCTCAAGGCTAGCGCTCTACCACTTGAGCCACAGCGTCACTTCTGGCTTTTTTTCTGCTTATGTGGTGCTGAGGAATCGAACCCAGGGCCTCAAGCATGCAAGTCAAACATTCTACCACTGAGCCACCTTCCCAGCCCCTTAATTTACATTTTCTTCAGTGTTTTTCTCTTTGGTTTGACAATGTCCCTCCCATAAAAAAGAAAATAAAATTCTTCATCTACAACGGGAACCTAGTCAGGGGAGAGCTTGGAAGCAGCTGAGAGGAAAGGCAAACCCCGCTCCACCGTTCGAATCCCCCAGGCTCTCTGGCTGCACGCATGTGCACGTGCACACGCCTGTGCAAGGACGCGCCTGTGCTGGCTCTCCTGTGTGTGTGGAGGGAACGGCACAGCACCGACCGGAACAAGGCTGGTCTGCGCGGCCAGAGGGACCGGCGGGCTGGGGGTAACGTTCAGGAGGAAGGACAGAGTGCTGCATTTCACTGAGCATCTGCTCAGAGCTTCACAAGCGATATTTCATGTAAAACCATACAGAAGGGCCGGAGATGTGGCTCAAGCGGTAGAGTACCTGCCTTATAAGTGAGCACTAACTAAGAGAGAGAGAGAGAGAGAGAATAAAAAAATCCACACAAAGCCTTACGTGAAGAGCAGGGGTTGACAGCTAAGAACAAGCTAGACAACGCAGGCAATGACAACACCTGTCCATGCTGGACAGAGAATGGGGACTAAAGCCTATCTGACCCTAGAACCTAGACTCGCACAGTTCTAAGCACCCCACTACCCAACTGCACAGGAGCGAGAGACCCAGGCCCAGGAGATGCCCCTGCCGGCGGCCTGCCAGCTCTCAGCTCTGCTTCAAGTTCAAGATCACTGAGTTCCCTCTTCTAAACTTTGACCTCCCGCCTTCCGTCCACAGGCACAAGCGCAGTCCATCTCTAATCAGACGCGTCATCCGCCTGGTCGATGGGGACAGTGATGGCTTCTCTTTCTGCGGTGTTTTCATGGGGCATCATTTCTAGACTCTAAATAAGGATGGCTAGGCCTGTTTTAGATTCCAGAAACCTGAGGTGCAGAGAGGTCACTTAACACGCCTCCACGCACAGGACTGGATCCAAGTCCAGCGTTACGCACGCCTCCCCCGCAGCTCGGCCCCAACCCCCACAGCGCCCGCATCTGCATCGTTTCCTGCGTCTCATTCCAGCCCACTTAGCAGCGGGCTGGATGAATGCAGTTTAGGGCTGAAACGCAGAAGAATGTGTGAGGAGGGTGGGTAGGTCCCAAAGGCCAGAATTTGACTCAGTTTACCTTTTCTGAATCTGTGCAGACTTGGATAGCATTGGGAATGAGGCGGGCTGTCTTCTCTTTCGTCATGGAGCAGACGTCTTTCAAACGGACTGTCAGCTGGCATCCCCACAGACACAGAGAGTAGATACTGAGCAAGAGGGGCACTGGCAGAGTCGGGAGACGTGTCTGCTTGGGCCCCCAGGTGAGAGAGGAAATCCCACCACAGCGCACAGATCTCATCCCTGGCGGGGGCCCACGATTATTCCCTTTGGTCAGGCGGCTCTGTAGGAACTGGGCCGCACGGCGGCCACGGGAGCCTGGGCTCTGGGCTTAGGAAGCGTTTGTCGCGCTCACTTCTGCAGTTTGCTACATGTTCAGAGAAGCTGGCACTGGGAGCCAGGCACTGGAGTCCCAGCTACTCCAGGTTCACAGTTCAAAGCCAGCCCAGGCAGAAAAGTCCATGGGACTCTCATCTCTCATTAACTGCCAATAACCAGAAGCAGAAGTGTGGCTCAAGTGGTAGAGCACAGCCTTGAACAACAACAAAAAGGCTAAGAGACAGTGCCCAGGCCCTGAGTTCAAATCCCAGTACTGGCACAAAAAATAAGATAAATAAAAACAATGACCTCCTTAGTTTGTCTGTATCTTATTTTATAAGGTGAGGGCTATATGGACTCTAAAGAAAAACTGGCATAAATTCACAGTGAATCGGCTTTTAAAAGCACACACAAGTCAGTTCTGGGCGCCAAGGCCAAAGCCCTTCCTACTTTACTGTATCCTCCTGAGTAGCAACTTATGCCAAATAATTTCCTGCATTTGCCAGAAGCAAATGCTCTTCATACCCTCTTCCACACCCAAGAGGTGGGAGGAAAATGTGTGAAAGAGGAGATAGCTTCATTGGAACTCGGAATTGGGCACTCTGCAAGACTCAGGCGTGTGCTGGCATGAACTGGGCAAATGACAGGGAGAAAACTCAGTTAGCTCAGGAAGAGACTGGGGGCAGCCTTGTGTAGCCACGGCCAAGGAGAGAGCCCAAGGGAGAGAGTCCCAAGTCTTTTTATTTCTTCTTCTGAGCCAGTACTGGGGCTTGAACTCAAAACCTGAGCATTGAACCTTGGGTGTTCATTTTGTTGTTGTTGTTGTTTTTGTCCAAGGATGGTGCTCTACCACTTGAGACACACCCGCACTTCTTCTGGCTTTTCTGGCTAATTAGAGATAAGAGCCTCATGGATGTTCCTACCTGGGCTGTCTTTGAACTATGATCCTTGGATCTCAGCTTTCTAAGTATCTAGGATGACAGGCGTGAGCCCCCAGAGCCCAACGCCCAGGTCTTCAGATTTTTTCTTCTCCTTCCTTTTTTCTTACTTTTAAGTAGCACTGGGGAATGAACCAAGAATGGCTTTAGCACACGAGGCTAAAGCTTGACCCCCGAACTACACCTCTGCCAGGGTCCCGGGTGTTTACCAGAGTTTCCCAGCGGAAGATGTTGCTGTAGAAGCAGATCCAGTTTTCGGAGAGGTAGAGTCGGCCCTGGAGAAGGATGTCTCTTTGGAGTGCGCACGAGTAGTCTGTCAGGGAACAGGATGGGCGCTCAGCGGTGCCGGAGCATGCAGCCACCCTCCCACTAGGCCCAGGGGAGCTCAATCACCTGCCCATGACCAGGTCTGCCAGATCCTTGAACCAAGGAAGTCTCTGGCACCTCAAGCCAGGGCACACACAGATGGTGAAGGGCCAGTGGGGCTTGCCAATCCCTTTTCCATCTGCCCATGTGCCTGTGACTCCCTCTGGGCGGGTACCGGAAGCTACCGTGAGCGCCCTGAACCAGGTGCACTGGGGTCGGCCCTCCGCTCAGGGCACACTCGCGGGCTCCAGGCGCACGTGCTCACTTGGGCTGGCTCCACACAGAAGCAGCCTGCGCAACTTCCTGCCTGACCCCTCCCAGGCCGCCAGCTCACCGACAATGAGGCGCTCCGTGTCTGGAAGTTGCTTAAAGAGCTTTCGGAAGTCTTCATTTCTCTGCTTGTAAGTGGGGCTTAACACCTGCATGACAACGGCCAAGGCGGGATTAGCCAGATATCAAGGAGGACTAGAGAGCCAGGCCGCAGGCCCGGGAGGAGGCCAGGCAGGCTCTGCTACCCCAGAGGCCCTGGAGGCTTGGGCAGCAAAGCAGGCCTTGGGATGGAAAACCAATGCAGAGAAGCGGTTTCTGCAGACTCTGTATCCAACACTCATCACTCACAAAACATGAAGGCAGAGCCTTCGAGGGTCCCTGGGCGGGAAGGAGGGTGGTGACTGTCAGGGCCTCCTGGGACATCCTCTGCCAGCCACAGGCCCCTGGGCAGTGAAGCAGGGCCCAGGGACAGCGGCCAGTGTCTCTCAGACGTCAGCAGCACTGACGCAGTGAACTCTTCGCTATGTGATTTTATTTTAAATCATGGCACCAAAAAAAAAATCATAAGGCCAATACTAGGAAAGGCATGAGTCAAGAGTTTCAAGGGTTTAGGACCAGGGTCTGGGCAAGGCTGGCAGGCACCATGTCTAGCCACAAAGGTGCCAAGAAGACGCTCCTGAAATAGCCAAGAAGCAGGACGAGGAGACAGAGGGGAAGGTAAGGGGCCAAGCAGAGACAGCAAAGAGGAAAACCAAATAAAAGCCAGTGAAGGCCGCAGGAAGGGTCCCCTGGCCACCGGTGGAACTGAGAAGTCTGGCTAAAAATAAGCTGTTCCTGCGAGCCCTGATTCCATTCCCACCATCATCTGGACCTCGCGCACCGTACAGGTAGCGTGACGCTTGGTCTAGGAGTCTGTGTACAGTAACAACCACCTTCTAAAACATCCTGGTGGTTCATTGTCTCTAGTCTGCCAGCCATTCCCACCTCAGCTGTGCACTCAAAGGGAGCCCAGCCTCGATTCCTGCAGAGCCTGCTCTTCGCTCTAGTCTGAGTTCTGTATCATCTTCAATTGAACTAACTCATATAAAAAAGGGGCGGGGGGAAGATGCCAGGCGCAGGTGGCTCACGCCTGTCATCCTAGCTGCTCGGAAGGCTGAGATCTGAGGATCGTGGTTCGAAGCCAGCCCAGGCAGAAGTCCTGTGAGACACTCAGCCTCAATTAACCACTCAAAAGATGAAAGGGGTGCTGTGGCTCATGTGGTAGAGTGCTAGCTAGCCTTGAACACAAAGAGGCTCAGGGACAGCGCCCAGGCTCAGGTGAGTTTAAGCCTCACCACCAACAAAAACAAACAAAAACAGGAAGATGGAGAAATGAAAAGCACACCCGACATTCAAGGGGCACAGTGTCCCTCCCCGTCCTGGTAGATGAACTCCTAATCCTGAGGGAAGCTCGCAGTCAATGTCTTAGCACTGCTGGTGGGGGCACCCTTCAAGGTAAGGCCCCTTTACCCACAAGCCCCGGGACTCAAAGCGAGGATCTTTTGCTCACAGACATAGGAGGCCAGGGAAGAAACAGGAGCTTAGGTGGGAAAAGCCAGTTACAGAGAATCTGACCCTGTGATGCGCTGTGGGGCTCTCGCTGGCTGGCCCGGAACTCACCATCCCAAGGCCTTGGGTGCGGCTCAACCCCATAGACCAATAACTACGAAGAAGCCAGCCCAATGGACCGACAGCAACCCCGCGTTTACAGAGCTCACAATCTTTAAAGTAGATGTTCTCTCTCTCTCTCTCCTCCTCCCCCCCTCAACAAAAACCACTATGGAAGCACAGATGACGGACCGAGGAGGCTGCACAGGGCCACAGACAGCCGGGCTCCACCAGCCTCGACTGACTCCTGCAGACCCGGGCCGCCGAGCAGGGGCCGGGAGCCCACGCCCGGGCAGAGTGTCCCTCTGGTGCGACACCCACTTCCCTGGAAATCCACAGGCAGACAGCTGTCCTGAGGAAAGACTGACCCCCCGTACCCCAACTTTTCATTTGGGGCTTCTTAGCAAGCGGCGTGGCTTATGGGGAATCGGACGCCAGGTGTGAATCTGTACCGCGCAAAGCCCCCCAAGCCGTGCTTGATGGTCTCTTGAACAAAGGGAGTTCGTGTCAGGATGTCCTGGTGGGAGATGTGGCGTGGCTTTAGTTTGGGGAGGTTTCCCACGGGAGAGGGAAGGTCGGGTGGAGAAGGGGAGCAGAGAGGGAAAAGGGAAACGGCCGGGAGGCGAGGGGGGGAGGGAGGAGAGAGATGGCAGAAGGCTGTGGGTCACCTGGTCTGTAATGAATCTGAATGCCTAGCGTTTCTTCTTGCTAGCAGGTGCCCAGATGCCTTGTCCAGAACACTGCTGTACCGCCCTGCGCCCCCAGAGTCCCGAAACCACCCGCCAAGTACTTGAACCAGGCACCAAGTCCCCTGGGGGTGGACGTCCTCAAGGTCATGACCTCTACGACTAGGAAAACCCTTGGCTGCAACAATCCCCGGTCCTGAGACGCCAATCCGCCCGGCCCCCTGGCCCACACATCACAAGCCCGTGCTTGGCCCCCTGGCCACAGTGTCCCCCACACTCGGCTTCCTCACCGCGAGCGGCTGTTAGGCGAGCACACAATGAGCTACACGGCACAGAAGGGCTTCCAAAACCCTGCTTCACACTGGAGGAAACTGAGTCACAGATAGGTCGAGCAACTTGCCCAAGGGGAGGGGTTACTAAATGGGAGTGTCACAGGAGATGTGTCCGCGAGCTGGAAGTAGCAGAGATGCTGGAAAGATCTCTCCGTCTGTCTGTCTGTCTGTCTCCCTGTCTCGCTCTGATGTTCACCTACTCTGGGGCTCCCACTGCCTCCAGTCTCCTCGTTGGTGTTCACAAAGTTGCAACCCTGGTCTGAGAAGCACCTGCGGGGTGGCCTCAGCCCCTGCGGACACACAGACCCCGCGCACCTCCTGCTTCTGATTCTCCCTCGCCATCTGCCTGTCCTCTCCTCTGGGCAGCCCCGATGTCCACCGGGACGGAGGCGCGGAGTCTGGCCACAGTCCCCGCAGGGCCCTTCCTCTGCCTGTGGCGGGCACAAGCCTTGTGGAAGGCACGCCGCCCCTCCTGGTCCCCAGGCCCCGGACCCCAGGTCTGCGGGAAGGGCCCTAATCCTACCAACGGGCCCTGAAGATGGCAGATTGACATCGCCACACTGCAGCATAAAGCACAGAGATGCCGCGGGGGGGGGGGGCTGGACCCTCGCCCCCTCCCCCTCCCTCCCCCCTACCAACCGTCAAAGCAGTCTCCTCCCGTTGGAAATGGCCAGGGAATTCCCACTCTAGGGCTGTCAAGTCTGGAGCCAAGCGGGGCACGCGAGGGCGCCCAGAAGGGCCGTGGGGACAGAGACACGGGGTCACACACTCACAGCGGGGAGCTCCTCAGATCCGTGCCAGCAGCAGTGCTCAGCAGCAGCGAGCTCGCGGGCAAACATCTTCATGTGCCACCGGAGACGCCAGCCGCCCTGCTCCAGCAGGAGGCTCCACAGGACCCCAGACTCGGCCAGGGACTCCATGGCCCCCAGTCCGGCCCCTCCCTCTGTGCGCTCCCTACTGTCCCCCCGGGGCCCAAGCGGCGGGCTGCATTGGGCTGGAGGAAGAGGGGCGATCTCGGGCTCCTGCTTCTTCCTCGGTGCCAGGCCTCATGAACGAGACGAAGAGGTTCTGTCTGTTTTATCCGTCCTGCCAGTCTTCAGGCTGGGGCCCCGAGAGGGGTGTGGCTCAGGCCTCCTCCACCTCCCCAGTGCAGACCGGCACCAGCACCGTCACCCCTGGTCACCCCTGGCCGCGGAGGCCAGAAGAGGCAGACACAGGGAGCCTTGGGGGGGGGGACCCCGGCGGGCTGGCCGGCTCTCCGGACAGTGTGGCCTGCAGCGTGACGCACGGCCTTCTGCTAGGCGCGCAGGAGAGATCGGGGCTCCCTGGTCCTTGCTGTCTTGTAGGTAGAGTGGCACATTTGAATAAACCGTCTCCCCACCAGGCCGCCGGTCCCACGCCCGCCCGACCAGTCCTGTCCTGGGCAGAGCCGCAGCTCGGCCGGCTCTCCTCCCACCCCCTGCACACGCCCCTTTCCCCTCCAGGCCCGTTCCTTTCAGCAAACAACTTCTTTGTTAGGAGCCGCTGGGGCAGGAGGGAGGCCTGGCCGTAGCTGCACATGCTTCGAGTTACAGGATCTGTGCGATGGGCCCGGCCAACGTCCTGCAGTAACCCCTCGCCTAGCCCCGCCGACCCAGCAGATGTTTCCTGCAATGGAAAGTTGCTGGCCACAGTTCCAAGTGGGGGGGAGGGAGGGGTGGTGCCAAGGGCACCACGGTGATGATGAAATCTGAAATTTGAGACTCAAAGAGCCAGGGATGTCTTGAGACATGTCTCCCCCTGGCTGACCCATTTCCAACGGCAAACCAGCAGGCTGGGCGCTGCACCGCCGAGCGGCTCTCGGACGTGTGCTAGCCGGGGAGAAGCTGAGGTCAACGGCCTTGGGGTCTGTCTGAGGCACCTCCTTCCTCTCCCAGGATGCTGTCCTCCCTCAGCGCCACTAAGACGGGGGTCAGCTGCTCAGACCTGGGGGGCAAAGGAACAATGCCCAGGAGACAGGAGAGTCTTCAGTGTGTCTATGGTGAAGTCTCAGCACCATGGTACAATACCACTCCAATTACCGCATGATGACCTGGCGGACACATTAAAGAATAGAGTTTCGCCGGGCGTCGGTGGCTCACGCCTGTCATCCTAGCTACTGAAGAGGCTGAGATCTGAGGACCGTGGTTCAAAGCCAGCCCAGGCAGGAAAGTCTTTATCTCCAATGAACCACCAGCAAACTGGAAGTGGCGCTGTGGCTCAAGCAGTAGAGCGCTTGCCTTGAGCTGAAGAGCTGAGGGACAGTGCCCAGGCCCAGAGTTCAAGTGCCAGGACCAACATAAAAAAAAAAAAAAAGAATAGATTGCTGGGCCCCAACCCAAAGATACTAATTGGGAGGAATGTGGGATCTTCCAGGTATCACTGTTGGCAACGTAGAAGAGTCTGACTCCCGCACAGAGACTTTCCCCACCCTCTCCCTACTCTGCCCTCTGACCCTGGGGTCAGCCCCTGCCTCGCTGCGTCCTGCTCTTGACCTCCCACCCCGGAACCTTCCACGCCTCTAACAGTTTCCTGTCTCCTACAGCAGTTAGCATGACGCATTTCAAATATCGGGCGCTCAGAAATTATTCACCAAATCAATACATTCCTCACGGGCCTCTGTGAGTATTCCGGCCGGCGCGGACCCCGCCGTACCCAGGCGGAGCAGAGCTCTCTGCCCTGCAGGCCTGGCCTCCCTCCTGCCTGCCTCCTCCCCAGCACGCTGCTGCTGCACCCAGGCTCAGCGCCCGGCGCCAGGCCTTGGACTGCAGTTCCCCGGACTAGATAGAGGCCCCATAAAAAGATGACTGTGTGGGCGAGATAGGGGCAGGACCTGCCCAGAGAGATAAGAGGCGGAGATGAGTCCCAGTCTGCATCAGCCTTTGTCTCCCTTTACCCCGCTTCACGGGCTGGGCAGGGCAGGGCCAGACACTGAGCCAGGGGAATTGGCCCTGGCCTAAACATTAACTCGAAGGCAAATATCAGGAGCGGGGACCAAGTGGTACCCCCTCCCTGGGCTCGGCAGGAACGAGGGAACTCAGGAGGGGAAAAATGTATCAGAGTACAGCATTAACCTCACCTAGGAAGAAATCAGTTAAGATCCACACAGGACATCCGGCAGCCTGAGCCAGGTGTGGGGCAAGGGGGCAGGAGGTGGAGAGGCACCCCGCCATGTGGAAGCAGCAGCTCCAGGGTAGGGAAGGAGCCGGGCATCAGTGGATCACGCCCGTCATCCTAGCTACTCAGGAGGCTGAGATCTGAGGATCACGGTTCAAAGCCAGCTGGGACAGAAAAGTCCGTGAAACTCTTATCTCCAATAAACCACCAGGAAACTGGAAGTGGCGCTGTGGCTCAAGCGGTAGAGCGCTCGCCTTGAGCTGAAGAGCTGAGGGACAGCGTCCAGGTCCCACGACCACCAACAAAAAGGGTAGGGAAGGGTGTGTCATCAGAAGAGATGAGATCACACCAGGGAGATGATGGATGAGGGTCTTCAGGGTCACGGGTACATCACAAAAGGAGGTAGTAGATGAGGGCCAGAGAGGCAGTCCTTCAGAAAGTGCCAGGCTGGGGGCTTGTCCCCCCCCCCCCCGCCCATGACACATGGGGTTTGAGCCTACAAAGCTTCGACCCTCCTTTCTCATACTTATCCCTGCCAGGTTTGCTGGCTGTCCATAGGACTAGCCCTGCTGGCGCTATGCACCCCCACAAAGCCAGTGTTCTAGTGGGCACGGGCGTCGGGTAGCCGGTGCCAGGCGGCACTCCAGGAAAGAAGCAAGGTAGAGAAGGATGCATCCGCCACCACCCCACGGGGCCCACACGGGTTCACATCCAGGCCAGAATTTATTTCTCTTGCTCTGACACCGTCTGGTGCCGAAGGGAAAGTCCCCTCTCTGCCCATCTCTCCATTTTCCGTCTACCGGGGTCTGCTCCCCCACGTTCATTCCTTTCTGCCTCCTGGAGGTTTTGCAGGGGGGGGGCAGGGGCAGTTTTCCGGGACCGGTGAGGCTCTCCGGTTGGGCTCTGGGCCTGCCGCAGCCCCGCCCATCCTCCAGCCAAGGTGTCTCCGCTGCCGCTGCAGTCCGAGAAGCCACGTCTTGGGCAGGGGGCCGGGGAGGTGAGGAGGCCGAGGGAGAATCAATGGGAAAGGGAAGGCTAGTTGAAGATGGAATGAGAGACTGGAGAAGATGGAGGTTGAGGGAGAGGAGGGACAGACGGGGGTAGAGGGCCGTGGTCAGGCACTTCCCTCTCAAAAGGGACCATTGGGTAGAGGACGATGGAGTTCTGAAACAGCCAGCCCGAGACAGCTGCCAGGAAGAACAGCCAGGCCTGTATCCCCCCCTCCCCTCCCCTCCCTGGCAGAGCGCTTCTCCTCCCCCCTCCTCCATTACCAGCCCTGAGCAGCCTGGGGACGACACAGGTTAAGTGGGAGGTGAAAGCCATGAGGGGGAGGGGTCCAGCACCCCAGTCCATCCCAGTCCTCAGCTTCCTCCTATCAGAATGGCCCGGTGGGGTGGGTAGGTGGGGCTACGGCCGACATACCAATCAAGAGCACCCAGGATGGGCAGGGGTTGATGGGAAGCCCCGGAGCTGGTTGGTCTGTGTTGGTATTAGGGAAGGGCTGGGCATCGCACACACGGCCCCTCCCCAGACCCCTCCCTGACTCCCTCCAGCTGTCATTCACAGCCAGATTCTCCTGTCTACCATTCCCCAGTGGCTCCTCCCTGCGCAGAGCCCCTCTCCAGCAGGACTTGGGCTAAGAAGAGAGATGGAGATGGCATTCTGCAACATCATGCACGAAGACACAGACGCAGGCTCGGAGAGGGGGCAGAGGCTGAAGCCATCGGCAGCCCCCCCCCCCCGGCAGTCCCGGAGACGGAGAACACAGCCAGGGCCAGCTAAGAGGCTCCATGCAGCTGCTCTCCAGGGCAGAGTTCAAAGGCCCCAGCTTCGGCTCTGTAGTCAGGGGACGTGGCCCTGCAGGGCTGTCTGTGCGGACGAGGCAGGTGACCTAGAGATGGCGCGGCTGCACCCTCACCACAGACCTCAGGGTGGCCACGTCTTGTGACAGGACGGGGCTCTGGGGGCCCCTGTGAAGGTGCCAGGGCACAAGTCAAACTCCACTCCATGGGAGGGTTCTCAGCTCAAGATGATCCCCAAGAGTCTGTGCCAAGGGATGAGGTCTTCACGCCCCAAGGCTGCCCCAGTCCCAGCACCCTGTCTGCCTGCTCCCGCCTTGAAAACAAGAGCGGCCTTGTGCGGGAGTGTCAGTGAAGCAGGGGACAGGGCAGGGGGCAGGGGGCAGAGGGCAGGGGGCAGGGGGCAGGGGGCAGAGGGCAGGGGGCAGGGCAGGACATCCTTCTTGACCAGGCCTTTCCCTGCCCAGCTACAGAGAACAATTACTGCATCTGGTTTGGGGACAGAGGAAGCTGGTAAGGGGAAACGCTCATGGAGAAGCCAGAACTGAGCCCCACATCGCCCCTCCTCATTCACCCGCCCACTCCCCACCCACCCAACAAGGAGAGAAACAGGAATACTTACATTGTACCAGCTCTGGCTTTTCTGAAAAGACAAACATAAAAGAAGGCAAAATTAGTCAGGGTGGAGCAGCCGGAGGAGACACAGCAGAGGACTGGCGGGGGGAGCCCCGCGCGGTCCCCTGCTCCCCGGGGCTGCTCACGAGCATCCTTTCTAAGACAGCTGCAGAAAGGAGACCTAGGCGCAGCTCATGCTGGACGGGCCCGTGGCGGGGGGGGGGGGGGGGCAGGCAGCGGCAGCACCAGCGAGAGCGCGGCTGGAAGGGAGACGGAGCCCCATCACGAGGTTCTGTGGATGGGGGCTCAGGATGTGTGGAGCACATCCAGGACCCGGGGCCCGACGAGGCCCTGCCCCGAAGCGGAGGACGGAGGAGGCCAGCCCGGCAGGTGGGCAGCCCTGTGGAAGGCAGCGTGGACAGGGCGGCGGTGGGGACAGCACAGGGGACTTCTGCAGAGAAGTGCTCTAAGCTCGTGGGGTGCGTGAGTTCCTTCTTCTGCTCCTAAGCACTAGCGGGACAGATTCTGGGGGAGGTGGGTGGGAGCCTTCGCTAAGGGGCCTCCCCAACCCCGGGGAGGGAAATTGTGCAGCCAGCCCCTCAAAGACTGGAAGGGAACAGGTTCCCTGGAGAAGGGCCTGGAGGCCGAGCTGTGCCTTGTCCGTGTCCAGCTCCCCCTGACGGCTGTCCCTGTAACCCACATTCACTAGACGGTAGGGGTCCCCGCACAGGTCAGTAGCCTTGACCACAGCCAGAGGCGTGGGCCTGTGCGCCATGGTGCCCTTCCGCCCTTCCCGGGCAGGGAAGCCAGCTCGAAGGCCGGACGGGCAGCCGGCCCTCGGTGCGCTCTGGGCGCGCCTGGCGGGATATGGGTGACTGAGCACCGGGCCTGGGGTCCACCGCCCCTCACCCCCCTTCCTTCCCACCGCACCACCTCTGCAGACACCGGACCCCTCGCTTTGCAGGTGACGCGAGGGACCAATGCGCTGCCTCAGGAAGAGTCCTCCCCCTCCCCCCCCCCGCTCCCACCTCAGCCGCCAGACGTGGCCAGGACGACAGATGGCCCTCTAGCCCCTTCCTTGAAAGGGGGCTCATGGTAATCCCCCCAAAGCCGTCTTTCCACGGACTAATCCGGAAGTCACACTGCCCTGACATGGCACTGTCCCTCCTCCGGCCAGCCCAGCCCCCCGGGACCGCGGTGCTGCTGGACGGGGAGCCGGGCGGGGAGGCCCTGGGGCCGAGGACAGGCCGCTCTCTGAGCCTGGGACGGCAGAGCTGCGCGGATGCACGCTGCCGCAGGAGGGCCGCTGCCCGCGGCTCCCTTGAGCTCCTGAAAGCCACACCAGGACGGCAGCCATCTTCCACAGCGAGGCTACTGACGGTGCCTGCGGTGGCCTTCAGGCCCCGAGGCAGGGGAGGGCACGAGGTAGGATCTCCCTCCCCGCGCGGGCCGTCCCTGTCCACGCACTGGCACCAAGCTCTCATCCCTTGGAAATCTGTTTGGGGCAAAGAACCTCAGGGTCCTCACGAGCCTGGCTGAAGGCCCGGTGCGCCCGAGGAAATGGCCCCGCAGTAGTGTGGGTAGTGGCACCCACTACCTGCTCTTCTGTAAAGGCGGGGCAGAGCACGCGTGCAAGCCCTCAAGAGAAACGCAAAAGGCAGCGGGTAAAGGCGGCTTTGGGGGGCTCTGTGGCCCCTGAGCGGCTAGCCCCGGGCTGCTTCCCATCCGCTCCCTCCGTGCGTGCCTTGATCCTCCCCCCAAATCTCCACCCCTTTCTGGACCATCTGTCAGAGATGAGTCTCCTGGGATCATTCCCCCTCCTGCCCCCCATGCCCTCCTGAACTGGGTCCTGGAAGAAAGTTAGAGAGGCTGCAGGCGCGGGGGAGAGGCCGCCACCCTGGTGAGGCCGCCCGGAGCTCTGCCCGGAGCACAGAGATGACCAGGGAACCAAGGGGGAGAGCCAGGGGCTGGGGCACGGGCTGGAGAGCTCCATCTACGGATCTGGCTAAAGAGAGGAGGGGGTGAGCACAGAGACACGGCTTCAGAAGAGAAAGTGAGCGGGGCTCATTTCTGGCTTCCGTGAGCCTTGGCTACAGGGGCGGACCCCGAGGACCGGAGAAAGGTCCGGCCCTGGAAACACTCCCAAGTCAGCTTGGGAAAGTTTCCTGCCCCCACGTCCAAAGGCATCTCCTAGGGCAAAGGACGAGGCAGCCGGGAGGTGGGCACGGGAGGGGGGGTGGGGGCTACGCACTGGACTTGTCGCTAGGGGTGAGGGGGGCAAAACCAACGTCTTACTTTGATCAGGTTAAGTCTGTCATACTGAAAAGAAAACCACAAAAATTAGAATGCAAACAAAAAACAAAAAGGGAGAACACTAGCGTGAGGACACTGGGTCATTAAAGCCAACCCCAGAGGGGGGGCTGCAGGCAGCGGAGGACTGGCCGGCCTCCGCCCCCCACCCCAGGCTTGCTCTCCAGAGGCGCTGGCAACAGGGGTGGCTTGGCTCCCTCTGGTGGCCACAAGCAATCATTGTTGGGTGGGAGCTGATGGGGCAGAGCGCAGCTGGGAATGGCACCCATCCTCCAGTCCAGCCCACGGGAGGCAGAAACAAGGATGAGACTCAACAGCGCGTTGAAACAAGACTGGGCCAGCCAGGCCTTCCCCGAGTCACACCAGAAGAAATGGAGGCCAGGGAGGGCAAAGGGGGCATTTTCTAGCTTGCCTGAAAAACACCTCAAGGTGTGGCCTCCTCTGGGGAGGACGGGAGACAGGGCCCAAGATGGCCCAGCAGCCACCAGAGTGGTGGGACCTCAGATCCCCTGCCCTGCACACGCCGGTCGGCTCCAACTCCTCCTCCGAGACGGCCTATGGCCTCCGAGGCCTCCTCTCCCCGGTCTGCACAGGGCCGTCTCCTGCTGGAACTCCCCACCGCCTTCTGGAGCCTGCGCCTGCATTCCAGGAAGACCACGGTCCTCCAGCCCACCCGTGCGGACAGAGCACCGAGGGCTGGGGCTGAGGGCTCAGAGGCGGCCTGTCTGCTGAAGATGGCCTTGCCCAGACCCCAGGCCTCTCGGGATGAGGAAATCCAGATGCCAAATCATCTGACCTCAACTGGCAAGAGGGAGCCCACACCAGCTTCCATTCAGCCCGCGTTGGGCGCGTTCCCAAGACCCTGGGTCTGCCCCCACCGCTGCAGCCACAGACACGTCTCTCCTCAGCACCCACCTCAGCTGGGGAGACCACAGGTCCACTCTGAGGTGCAGACGCTCGGGACAACTTTGTCTACACCTCCTAGGCCACACCGGGCAATTCTGTCTACACCTCCTAGATGCTACCATCTACACCACCTAGACCACACGGGGTCCACCCCCTAAGCTGCAGTCTCCACTACAATCAAGACTCCACGACGTCAGCGCCTCCCTCTCCTAGATCCACCACCTTCACCCCACACCATGTCAGTCTCCTAGGCTCCACACTGCCCACAGGGCCTGGATTTGGGGGAGAGTGGACCTTCTCCGTTAGAGGAGGAAGCACAAACAACAACAATAATAATAACGGCACTGCTTCTTCTTCCTACCATGCCCTGGGTTCCCACTTACCAATAAAAAAGCCCCAGGACGGTGCACACACCAGCCCTCGGCCGTGGGCACGACCTGGGAGGAGCCCCGCGCCAGAGACCACCCTGGCAGAGGATGCCACTGGGCCCTTCTCCAGGGAAGGCCTGCATCACAGTCTCCCTTTTGCTCTCCAATGAAGCTGCTCGGTCTGCTTTAAACACTCCCCACCCTCTGTTCTTTCATCCCTGGCGAAGGGACCCCTCCTCCTAGATGGTTCCGGATTCTACACCTTCCAGACCCCTGTCTGCACCGCACGTGGCCCCTGTCCACGCCTGCACTCTGCATCTTGGCACCTGGTTCCCAACGTGACCCGCCATTTCAGAGCTTAAGAGTCCTTATCACTGGACACTCCCTGCTCCAACCCATGGCCAGATCCAAACACACACACTCCCAGCGCTGGCCACGCCCCCGCTCCCTGTGTTCGTCTCACAAATGTGCGAGCAGAGAGAAGGAGCCCCCGGTGCCCACCTGGTGTGGGTCATCCAGGCCCTCCCTCCCACCAGCCGGGCCTGGAACACCTCAAGGCCCCCATCGATGAGAGCAGGGACGGGTGCTCTCAGGAGAGCGGGCGCAAGCCTGGCCAGACCCTGCCCTCGATGCCGGGCCTGCCCCTCGATGCCGGGCCTGCCCTCGATGCCGGGCCTGCCCTCGATGCCGGGCCTGCCCTCGATGCCGGGCCTGCCCCTCGATGCCGGGCCTGCCCTCGATGCCGGGCCTGCCATGCATGCCCAGGCTCCCGAGCCCACAGAGGACACCTGCCGGTGTGCCCACTCCATCCGCAGCCAGCTACGGCTGCTGGACGCCCCGCAACGCTGCCCAGCTTTCCGTAGGAAGCCTGCGGGCCCAGCTGTGCAGCCTCTGCCCCTCCCCCAGGATGGAACAGCAGCGCGCCCTTCTGCTGCACTTGAGAGAGACGGGACGGTAGCTTCCTCCGCACCCAGGCCCGGCCTCCGCGGTGCGGGAGGGAGAGCTCTGCGAGGCCCTCTGCCCTCCCTCGGGCCCCTGACCTGTTCCCGTCTCTCCAGGACCTGGAGGGGCTACTCTAGGCACTCGGGGCACCGCCCCCCCCAGTACCATAGGCATGGGGGGAAGTGGGCGGGGTCACCAGCCGAGCAGCTGCGGGGATGGGGGCAGGATGGTGCCCTCCAAAAGGGCATCCGCCCACCATCTCCCATCACCAGGGGCCTGCGGTGCCCTGAGGGGGGCCGTCCCCCCGCAAGGCTGGGGGGCCCCCCGGGCGGGCTCTGCTTGGAGAGGGCGCTATGGAAGGGGACGGATGCCCTCCGCAGGCAGTGCTGGGGCGCAGGCAGACGCGGGGGGGGGGGGCCTCCCGCGTCCCTCGGTGACTTCAAGCCAATCTGGGTGGGGAGGGGGGACAGTGGGGCCGTGGGGCTGGCCCTTCTGGGAGAGGGACCAAGCAGGACACGTGGGCAGAACTGGCGGGGGGCGGAGGGCGAGGATGCTGAGCACTACAAACACGTCAACACTAGAGGGGAGAGGAGGAGACAGACGAAACATGGCTTACTTTTGAGAGGCGCTTGTGAGACTAAGACGGTGCATGCAAAGAAGGGATTTGGGAAGTGGCGGGAGGAAGAGGAAGAACAAGAAATCAAAAGACAAATTCAGACGGGGCACGGTCTCCCTCACCTCCCTGGGGTCCCCAGCCCCTGCCGGGCCCTGCGGATCTGAAGGCAGAGAGAAGCTTCTAGAAGGAGCATCTGGGCAGTGCTGCCTCATGCTTCCCGGAAGACTGAGGACGGGAGGGTTGCTCTCTGGGGAGCCATCACCAGCCTGGGGCTGCCAGGGCCCGCATGCCGCCATGCCTGGCCGGGTCGCAGTCCTCATGGCCCGATGTGTGTGGAGTGGGTGGGGACGATGGCAATGCAGGATGCCAGACAGAGCATTCTGGAAGTTTCTCTGAAAGATTCAATCCCTAGCACTAGCTCTAGGGGGCAACTTTGCAGAAGGGTTCAGCACCTGGTCCTGGGGCTCCTGGGGCGGAGGGCCTGTCCTGCCTGCCTGCCCGGCCGGGGCCTGAAGGACACCGGCGCCATCCACTCACCGCAGGAGGAGAGCACCCCTTCCCGGGCACCACCAAGCCCCCCGACACCAGCCGACAAGGTGGCCCCCGCTCACCTTGGAATTTTTGCCCCCACTCCGGCCGGACTGGGAGGAGCAGCTGCGCTGCACGCCTTGCTCGGGCGTGGACGGGGACTTGTCCGAGGAGTGGTCCGAACCCTTCTCTACCATCGTGTCTCCGTCCTGGTTCTGAGGGGTGGGCGAGCGGGACCGCTTCCGGAGAATGGGGGAGCAGGCCGGCGTGCTGCGGTTGGAGTTACTGGCCGTGCTGCAGGGGAGGAGGGGAAGGGGGAGAAGGGGGAGGGGAGGAGGAGAGGGGGAGGGGGAGGAGGAGAGCAGGTGGTCAGTGATGCAGCCTGGGCGCCTAGGGAGACAGGGGCCCAGGGATGGACTGAGTGCCATGTAATTCTGCTATTGGCCAGGAGAGGGCAGTGGTGCCAACCTAGGAAAACAGAACTAGGACTAGGAAAGGGCTGGTAGGCATCAGCAATTAAGCTATACATTTATCCATCCGGTGTCTGACCATCCAACCACTGCTGGAGCCCCCATTATCCTCTCAGACGCCAAGCGCCGTCCAGTTATGATCTGAGAGGCTCACTGGAGCTCATACAATGCTATTAGTTCATCGTATACGTGCTCTACTTGGAACACTTGCTCATAATAATGGCAGTCACAATACTGTTTTTCAGAGCGTTCTCACATACTTCATGACACTGGGCTCTTAAAACAGCACCCTAAGTGCCCAGACCCCTAATTTTAAAAGTGAAGACCGAATCTGGCAGGTAAGGTAAGCGTCTGCTGATGGCAGAGGGCCTGGCTTTCTGCTTGGGTTTTCCTGCCCACACCATTCTGTTGTGTTTTCTTACAGACGGCTCCTTCCCGCTTCCCCTGATGGTGAAGGTGAACAAGCACCACCCCTCCCCCACATCCATTTCCAGCAAGTGCCTTAAACATCCCATCTTACCAAACCCAATTACACCATTATGAGCTCCTAGCATAGTGACTACCAGATTCTCACTTGCTTGTGTTTTCAGAGGAGGAGAAGAGATGACAGAGAAAAAGGGAGAGGAAAACCGAATGTGTTGGTTAAACTTCAGTAGATGTTTGCTTTGTTGGGCAGAATACAGAAAGAGATTAATAAAGGGAAAGATTAATTAGTAAGAGTTGGGGGCTGGGTACGGGTGGCTGGGGCCTGTAATCTTAGCTACTCAGAAGGCTGAGATCTGAGGACTGAGGTTTGAAGTCAGCCTACCTTACCAGAAAAAAGCCAGGCTAGCCGCGTTGCTCAAGTGGAAGAGCACCAGCCTTGAACAAAAAAGTGCTGTGGTACTGAATTCAAGCCACAGTACCAGTGCACATGGGTGTGTATGCATGCACACACACACCTGCACACACACACCTGCACACACACACACACACACACACACACAACACAGGCAGGGAAAATGGGAAAGAAAGCGAATGTGAAGCTACCAAGCGGACAGCACCAGGTTGTGGTGTTGGGTGTAAAGAGCCAAGTACCCCAGCCACCAGCTGAGCAGTCAGAGGGCAGGGGGTGCGGGAGGGCAGGGGGTGCCGGAGCAGGAGGGGCAGGGGGTGCGGGAGCCGCACTCTCAGGACACCACATCCAGCTTTCCTTCAGGGAGTGGTGGCTGTGTGGGAAGCCCCAGAAGCCCCGTCCTCCAACACCCCAGCGGACACACCGGAGATAAAAACCAAGTCCCTTTGGCAGGACCTCGGCCCAGGCAGAGCAGAAAGCACCGAGGGGGGGGGGGACAGCGGGGGGGGGCAGCGCGGAACTTTTTGGAAGGAAACCAATGAGGGGGGGGGAGGGAGACCACCATGGCCAAAGGACGCACAAGGAAAGCAAAAACACAGCGTGCATTTAACATCTCACTTAACACCAGCGATCCCTGCTCGGGGAACGCCCACCAAGTCCTGCTCCTGCCCCCCTTGTCCTGGACTACAGCACTGGAGACCCCGGGAAGAAAGTTTCACTGCTCTGCCTCAGCGGAAGAAGCCTCACCACGGGGCCAAGTTTGCAGACGGGCAGCCCACAGCGTGTGGTCTGGGGGTCCTGAGAGAGAGTCGGGTCAGCCAATTTCAAACCACAGCCAAATAGGTTTAAAGTGCCTCCCAGGATTACCATTCCCAGAACAGCGGGGAACTCTCTCCCTACCCCCAACAACCAAACCAAACAACTACCAGAGACAGAAGCCAAGCAGGCATCCCTGTCACACACTGATCTGGGAGCCGGCGCTGGTGGCTCACGCCTGTAATCCCAGCTACTCACGAGGCTGAGATCTCAGCCTGGGCAGAGAAATCTGGGGAACTCTTCTCTCCCAATTAACCAGCACAAAGTTGGGAGTGGAGGTATGGCTCAAGTGGTAGAGAGCCAGACATGAGTGAAAAGTTGAACTTCCAGGCCCGAAGTTCAAACTCCAGTATCAGCACAATGCATATACACATCCATGTGTGCACCCTGCACCACATATGCACACACCCATGCACACGCATGCACACACACACACACACCACACAGTCATCCCTTCATCCCACAGATTTGCACATACTGCTAAGCAATAAAACCAGCAGATCCCATATGAAAAAACATATTTCTCATAGTGTTGAGCCTTTCAAACTCTATGCCATTAATCATGCCAGCATGATTAATAATAAGATTGTATTATATTTTAAAATCTTTAGACTTTAAAGCAAAAAAAAAAAAGGACCTTAAATAGGGCTGGGAAGGTGGCTCAGTGGTAGAGCGCTTGCCTCACGTGCATGGGGCCCTGGGTTCGATTCCTCAGCACCAGATAAGCAGAAAAAGCTGGAAGTGGTGCTGTGGCTCAAGTGGTAGAGTGCTAGCCTTGCACACAAAGAGGCCCAGGGACAGTGCCCAGGCCTGGAGTTCAAGCCTCACAACTGACCAAAATAAATAAATAAATAAATAAATAAAACCCACAAAATCCCCCAAACCCTAAGAATAGGGGGTGTAAGCCCCTGGCGAGGGGTGTGGCTTGCAGACTTGTCTTTCCGGCTTTGGCAGTGTTCACTGACCACCTCCACTACACCAGTGCTGGACGTTCAAGATGCCAAAGAAAGGGCCCTGGCTTTGGGCATTTTCAGCACAGATAAGCTGAACACATATCTTTTTGTCTGAAAATAAACTACAAATGAGGTGATCAAGGGTGGGGGATGGGGAGACTGGCTAACGGCCCTGGAGCTTGGTGCAGCAGACATGTTAGCCAGGTGGAAGTCAGAGAAGGAGAGAAGAGAATGTTCTAGAAAGAAAGGAGATGGAGGCATAGAATGGCATGGACGTACAGAGCATTACACAGCACGCTCGCGCCTGGGCTCCAGCCCCACAGACACCCTCAGCCCACGGCCTGTGTCCCAGAAGCTGTTCATCCACTTCCTGCTTTGAAGATCTCCAACAAAGCCTGTCTCAGTCTCCGGCTTTTCTCACTAACAAACAGTGCTTGCCTAAGTCTGACCACACTATCTCCTGCTGTCGAGTGCCTGACCCCACGTCCTATCCTCAGATCTGGCTGAGGGCCTCCACAAACAGAGAGATGTGGAAAGAGCACACAGGCTTCTCAATGGCTCCGTAGTCGCCGTCCGCCCCCTCGACGTGCTGGCCACCGTGTTCCAGCCTCACCCTCAGCCCCCCGCGAGGACAGCGGCCCTCAACCAAGGAGCACAGCACAGTGGCTCCTCGGCCAGCCGCCCAGCCCCTGGCAGCAAAGCGCGGTCGCTGGGTGTGCAACACCGTGATAGAAAATCACCAGGATCTGCAGGCCCAACGCCCCTCCCTCTGGAGGTCCCTAGCTTGGACGGCAGCCGGGGCTCCCCGAAATCACCCCACAGCGCATCCTACCAGCCAGCGGGCCGCGGCTCGCTCCCAGCCTGTGCTGAGTCGGGTGCTGTGCGTCCTCGAGGACGCTGGGAAGTTCTGTAGGAGGCTGCGTGCCGGGCCGGGGCGCCGCTGCCCGCACCGGGGAAGCGCTCAACTAGAAATGGGACGTCCAGCTCCAGTGCGTGTGCCAGGAGCCCGCAGGGCAGGGATGGGGTTAACTGCCGCCTGCGGTGCCAGCTAGCCCGGGCTGGGTCCCACGCCGGCCACTTGCTTGTGGTGTGACCTGGTCTCCTAAGCCTCATTTTTCTCCCTGGAAGAACGGATGCCTGTCTCACAGAGCCATGTTGTCTATACGGCGAAATAACGCGAGTGAAGTACTTGGCACATGGGCTGATGCACCGCAAGTCTCTCCTTTTGATCTGGCAGCACTGAGGATTGAACGCAGAGCCTGGGCCAGCCGTGGACCTCAATCCCCCTACGTCAGCCCACGCAAGAGCTGGAGTTACAGGCTTACACCAACACGCCCGGCCTCAACTGATGTATTTGAGGGACAATGATAAAGTGAACTCTGTTCCTCTCTGTAAGATTGAGGACATGCCTCACCCTCCACACTACCAGAGGAATCAGCCAGTCCCCTTTGGATTTTCCCATAGCCAAGCTCACTCGAGAGAGAAAGGCCACAGGTGCATCTGTGTGGCATTTGCAAGGGTTTTACATGCAACCATCACCAACTCCACTTCCACATGGAGAGTTTGTGAGGACTCCTGAGGGTGGTTCTTCCTCTTTGCATTTCTGCTTGCCATTTAACGGTGTCCAAGCAACGTCTCTAGCCGCGAAAATCCGCAATAGGTAGCAAGGAGCAGAACCAACCAGAACCTTGGGGGAAGGAGGTGAATGGCTCAAGTCCCCGATTCCCTCGGAGAGGAAAATACCAAGTCACCTATGAAAATTAATCCAGCCCGGCGCCAGTGGCTCACGCCTGTCATCCTAGCTACTCAGGAGGCTGAGATCTGAAGACAAGTTCAAAGCCAGCCCAGGCAAAAACGTCTATGAGACTCTTATCTCCAATTAACCAGTAGAAAGCTGGAAGTGGAGCTGTGGTTCAAAGTGATGGAGTGGGGGCTGGGAAGGTGGCTCAGTGGTAGAGCGCTTGCCTTGCATGCATGAGGCCCTGGGTTCGATTCCCCAGCACCACATAAGCAAAAAGCTGGAAGTGGTGCTGTGGCTCAAGTGGTAGAGCTGAAGAGCTGAGGGACAGTGCCCAGGCCTAGAGTTCAGGCCCCATGACTGGACCCCCCCAAAAAAAAATATTCAAAGTGATGGAGTGCCAGCCTTGAATGAAAAAGCCAGGCTCAAAGAGCCCAAGGCCTCAAGTTCAAGTGCCAGTACTAGTATGTGCACACACTCAA